AATGTTGTAAGGTTTCTAATATTTCTCAGGCATGGTTGTAGTAAATTGAATATTCTAGTTAATGTCATTTCCAGAATAACTGGAAGATGAAAAAAAAATCCTGAAGTTTGAGAAAGTGTCCTCTAGTGAGCATATTCGATGTTCCAAATTCCAGATATATAGCTAGAAAACCAAAGGAGAATATATTATACATCATTATATATACCTACCATGAGTCTGTGTCACCCGGTAGGTATCGTTTATTTTGAACAATCTTTCCTTAATTTGTCTTGGTATCCTGCAAAAAGGAATGATCCAAATTTTGGTACTGCATGCTAAGTAATTTGTGTGAAATTGAATTCATGCGAGATTATTAAAAATATATGGTACAATTGAAGTGAATTTGTAAAAAACTTCAAGAAATGAAGTCATATCAGAGATCATCAATTCATAATGACTACAAAAATGTCGACAGTGGACAGAATAATTGAAAAAAACTTCGTAAATCCAAAATACGCAACGTGAAATGAAAAGGTAACAAAGAGGAAGAAACTCAAAGATCTATTAGTTAATCAAATGAACTGTATTCGTCTATCTATACGAATCGTTGCATAGATTTCGGGATTGATTGATTTACTTACTTTCTTGGAATCTTGGTTTCTTTCAAGTGAGAGCTTACATAATTTAGATTCATGTTTATTTCGGTAGAACTAATGCTTCTATCAGTTCTATTTATTGACTCTGTACTAAACCGTAAATTATTCACTAACACATTTTTTTATTATTTTAATGGATAGAACCTCTCCCAAGCTTTTGGCAGGGTAAGTTAATAAATATGCATGTTCTAACTAACCTGTTTTGTCCTGCAAGTACTAATAATTTTTTTGTTCCATCATATATTTCGTTGAATAAAGAAACAATAAGACTGTTCATTTGTGTTCTTGGACTCCTTGGTGATGCTCAGAGCAAGCCGATCAAATCAGATGAATTACGTCACAAAGCAGATTTTAGTAAAAATGAGCAAAGTGCATTGGCTACAAACGAACACTTTTGACTCAGCCTCCAATATTCTTGTCGATCAATTCTCATGATGGGATGTTTTTTCATACCCACGCAAGATCACTCTGATAAAGAACAATAATGCATGATTTCCAAAATAATATATATTCGTCTCCTAATTATTCATACTTAGCATTCCTTTTTAAAACATAATATTCATTATTTATTACATCGCTCAGTATAAACAGTGCAGGATTTATACTTTTCATGAGTATCCTATACTTATTCATTCGCGCTGCCCAATCATCGAAGATCCCACGTATCACTTACTTATAGGCAGTTATTAGATATATACCATATTAGGAACAAATTAGACCAGACTCAGTTCAGAATAGATCTGGCTCAGACCAGATCATACCTGATCAAACAAAAACCTATTGGAAACGGCGGCTGTAGGTAATAAAATAGGTAAATAAAATCCTCACATTTTTGGCATTGGATTTCAGATTACCGAGAAAATTATTGATTACTTTTATTTCTGAAGATGGATCATCCTCAACTAGGATACTAATTTGTAGAAATTCAATACACATACTTCAACAAGGGATCGATCAAGAATAAACAAGTATCTTCAACAAGTCCAAGTTGCCTGGAACGAGAGTTTTTTGTTTATAATATTGTGTTGAAAAGAATGTTGCGCAATTTCAGCATTGAATTATGAAATAAACGGGAATTATAATTTTTTAAGATTTTTTTTGCATAATAATACTCAATCGTTTTGAATTTGAAATACTCCATGAAAATTTGTGGCCGGAGTGCAAAGAGCTATGCAGAAATCATAGATTTTCATCTATGCAGAAAGCTATGTCCAAGTTCGGTTCCTTGAAAACGTGAAAGATCCAATAATAGTTTTTTAGACCATTTTTGGCCGAGTATATTTATCTTGATTTTTATGATTCACAGCAATTTGCTGCACACAAAGAACACGTTCAGATCAAAGGCTCGACACAAATGAACATACGCATTTCTGCTACACAAACGAATATTTTATTATCGGTATACGAAGATTTTTCATTCCCTCTGGAGGGGGTAAATGACCCATACGATTTTCACCATATTCGGAGGAAATATTGAATACCCTATATTGATCATATGGGGGAGACCACTGATTTTTTAAAATGACATTATCGTGAACTCTATACTGAAAAACTACCAGCGAATTAATTTTGAATTTTGTCATTCATGCTAAGACGATGAAAATAATAAATTTGAATATGTCCATTTCAAAACACACAATTCCTGAGCCATTTGAAATTTTGTCAATTCATTGGTGTGACTGGTGCGACGTCTTATTCCCAACACGCCTATCGTCCTTGAACTGACCAATCACACTGCAACACTGCAGAATGACGAGGTATCAGAGAGAGATAGCTACAGTTCGGGACTAATACGTCACGACTCCACCATCATATTTGGCTGTTTGAAATATCGAATGAAATATGCTGATTTCAAAACGATATAGATTCGTTTCCCTTCAACTTCAACTCATAATATTGATTGTACATCAAACGTAAATCATGATTCGTCGATTGAAAGAGGTTTGCACGGATTTCTTCTCTCGGTGGTCTTTCCCATTCCGAAAATCAATAATGAAATCTGTTCGGTACAGAATGGGTACAAAAAATTCAGCATCGAATGACTGACAATCCGTCAATGTGACTTTCGCCCCATCAAAATTTCTAGTCTAAAATGTGCCAAAAACCCGATGCAGTGCTACTATGCTACACCAGCAGCATGCAGCCCATATTTTTGCTCCCCGTGTGCTAGATCTTGCGCTTCCAGCAAATCTTGCACCCCCTGTCCATCTGTCTGGAGCACCTGCAGCAAACCTTGCACCCCTTGCAGCTCCCCCTGCAAACCATGTGCACCCAAAAGGGAGAAACTTTTTAATGTGAACGATGGCATCCCCAATACTACCCCTCCAGACCGAACAAAGACCAAGCAGAAAAGACAAGAGAAAGGTAAAGAAAAGGTGAAGGTTGTCAAGGTTGTTAAAGTAGAAAAGGTCAAACAGAAGAATGAATCAGGAAAAGGAGATGATAAAGTCGATAAGCCTACAGCTAAAGACAAGCCTGTGAGTGTGGGACCACCTGGTGATAAAAAGAATGATCCTAAAGCAAAAGAAGGCAACAAACTGGATCATGTCACAGAATCGGTAATTATGGGCAAAACCGATGAACTTTCTAGCAAAATAAAAGATCCCACTAGCAAAACCAAAGACCTCACTAGCAAAAACAAAGACCTCACTAGCAAAGCTGAAGACTTCACTGGCAAAACAGAGGGAACCACTGATGGACCAAACGTGCCAGGAGATACTACCTTGGGAAATGGGACTTGTACGCCTAGAACAGGCTGCAGATGTCCTCATCAAAGAACAGGGCAACATCAAGTGTGTACACCCAGAGTGAGGTTCCACCAAACGGTCTCCTACAGACCCAGTACCGTCCAGTACACTCCTGAGAGACCTTACAGGTGCAGCTGTATGAATATGAATAAGCCCAAGCCACTGGCTGCACCTGGTACAGTCTGCGGTACTTGCGGAAGAACCAAAGCCAGACCAGCTACAGTCGCTCAGCAAATCTGTTCCAAGTACTTCGGAAACTATATCAACGGCGCCAATACGTTGCCGGCTGGGTATTCCCGACAAATTTGTGCCAAGTACTTGGTACCTTCAACACCCAACCAGAACAGCGCTCAAGCGAGATGTGGTACCTGCGGTACTTTGAGACCTATCAATGTATCTTCTCGTTTTGGCAATGATAAATGTTGTTCTTGTGGGATGAGTAGAAATTCGAGAACAGGCACGCCGATTTCGAATGATAGAGGCCAAAAGAATTTTTATTATCCTCAACCACCGAGGAATCAAACGAGCTCATTTTCTGAAAGTAAACGAGGGTTGATTTGTGATAGTAAATGTGATGTTATTACCATCAAGACTAAACATAATCAAGAATTGTCATATCATTTATCTGATTTTCGAAATTGTAGGTGTAAATAAAATGGGATGTTTGTATGTGTTTGTCAGAAACATTGCTATCACATTTCCTATATGGACGGGAAATTATCGCAGAGGAACATGTGGGTATAGGTATACTCGATGTGGAACTACTATTGAATTCGAAATGGTGATTAAAATACCATATTGCACACTTTATGAGTGTTACAACGCAATTTTGATAACAATAATGCATAGGTACCTTGTAGATATCGTGTGCATTCGTGTGCATTTGAAATTGTTTATGATTTTATGTTTCCGCATGGAATAACTCCAAATTACATTTCTCCTTACATATAGTATTCTATGGTTGATAATTGATCTGTTCATTCTCTTTTGGACCAACTCAAATTGAAACTAGTTTACTCTATTCGACGTTATAATATCTAGCTGATTAATTTTTTGGATCACTTTTTTCATTTACATTTCTACATATGGCTTCATTATTCTCAGAGAAGACGTTTATTTTAATATTGAAAAGAAAATGGTCGCTTATTAGTTAAATCTGATGAATATCAAAACACTCACATCGGTACGTAATTGTTCTCATTTTCTTGTACACAAATCTTTTAGTTGGAACTTGAGGAAATTTCATTTATATTTTTCATATTAGACTCTTTACCGAAAATGAATGAAATTATTGTAGATACATAAATATGTAGAATTGCTTTCAAAGCTAAAAAAAAAAACGAGATACCGAGACATTATTTTTCGTTTCAGATATAAGTAGTATATTAGGGAATGTATTAACGAAGACTGTGGACAATTATGTTCCTCGTTTCCGTCCAAGATTTGCTCCTACGTGGAAGTGATTGAGAGATCCCAGAAATTATCCCACAATGTTGATTTTAATTGACCAACAAGCCTTCAATAGGTTTTTGGGGGATTTAACAAAACTGTCACCCCGTGAATATTTAGCTGAATGAGATTTTCTGAACAACAGTATATCGTCTTGACATTTGTCATTTTTTGCGTTACCATTCAGGAGCTATTTTTTTTACTAAAAATCTCACGATAGTGCTGTGAATCGAACATGTAACATGTGGGATGCTTTTTTGGACAGAACCAGCCAGTCATGTACGGTAGTCAATACCTCCGAGGCTAAAAGCTTTTTCAAGAAGAAAAACGACTTGCTCTCCGTAGAATACCTGAACTACATACACAAGGACACTCTCAGCTATTTGGACCACTATCCCATGAAAAATTCGAAAGTCGAAACAAAAAAGGTGCAAAATGCTCAGAAGAAAAAACCCACGAAGCCTGTGCCAGTGTACTACAGAGTCCAAGTCGAAGCTGCAGACCAGAAGAGACCTAAAACAGTCCCGAAATGCAAGGGAACAGAAGAATGCAAGTGCGGGGTGAAATGCCACAGGCCAGGGGAACTGGAAAAGTTGCGGAAAAACATCGTCTCGCTGCTCTCCAAACCAGCTCCAGCAACCAGCCTGTACAAAAAAGCACCTCAGCCTCCTTTGCGGGAAAAACCGTTGCCAAAACCTTTGACAAGTATCGCCGAGGTCAGAACTGTTCCTCAAAAACCACTAGAGATATCGGAAAAAACCTTCGTCACCTCTGATGAGGAATCACCTGAGAAAGACAATCAGCCGAGAAGCTCGGTCCAAGAAGTTCCGGTTGTTGACTTGAAGGGTTCTGGAGAGAAGAAGCGATTAAGTTCTGATAAAGGTCTCGGATTACTGCTCAAGAAATATCTGTACCACCATGGGGTTGGTTTAGGGGTGGTGTACAAATTATTTAAGGTGATGAAAGGTCCAGATTCATGTATACCTACCTACTTAGATTAAGACTTGGTGGAAAATACCGTATGTCTGTCTTCACCGTTAGCTAACATTTTATAGGATAAAATTGTTGGCGTAATTTCAAACATATTTTCTAGGGGTTTACTTCCGGTATGATCTTGAAGAGCCATGCAATATAAGTCTGGAAACTGTTGAAGGTGATCAATCCCTCTGATGATAACTTTCCTCCTATTGAGTTGATTGATAAAATCAGATGACTGCTCGTATGTGTAATTTTGTTTTTTGTTGATCTCGCACTATAATATCCAGCCGGTTTGTGCAGGGAAAAATATAATAACTAAGCCCTGAAAATTGAATGACTTTAAATTTGCGACTGTCTATGACTATTATTGATAAAAATAGAACCTGCAGTCTACATTCAATCATTATATCATTCTTTATCAATAACGCAGGGTATTTTTATATCGTTATTTCGTGTTGTTATCCAACCTGTTGATTTCGCGAACAATACAGGAAAGCGGCAACTGTTGACATTTGAAAAAGGTTAGATGATATCGAGCCTACGAAAAATTAATTAGTATAATGAAAGAGCGTTATCGCTAGAGATTAAATACCACAGAGTATTTCCGTTCTGAAGGGTTGAACTAAACACCATTTTCAATTCCAGTTGCTCTATAGCTTCCGTGAGAAACGTTCCTATGAAAATCCATCGGAAAAATGTACCAGGCGAACCCCGTAGTCGAAGCGAATTTCGTGAAATTGATTTCCACCGGTTCGGAACGCGGGTACAGATTTTCTAAACGTTCGGTGGTTCCTCTAGAGAGGGATCTCGAGGGAAACGCGTTTGCTTTCAAGTTCGAGCCGCGTGTCGCGAAAGAATCTCTGAAGGGGGTCGAAAACGCGGGTTTTCGAAACGTCGGGTCACCGTTCACCGGTAGGGGGGCTTCGAAGGGTGCGATAAGGGTGGTGAATGGGTCGCATGGGGGATCGGTGGGGGTGTTTGAGGGGAAGGTGGATAATGCTGTTGCTAATAAGATATTTAAGGTAATTTTTGGTTGAATGCGATAAGGAATAATGTATTGAGAAGAATGAAAATTTCACGAGAGAAATATGCCCCTTTGTGTTCTGGTCAATATAATGGTCGTGTACACCTTTGTAGAACTTTCAACTCAAACCATGTTTATAATGATCCTTTTATACATAAATAATTATTGACGACATAATTCGATCGAAAAATTAACTGGAATGTTTTATTTTTGTACATAAATAATAGTACCTTCTGGAAACGGAGCCTCTTATGACGTAGAAACCTCATCTCGTCATAGTTAAAAGAAAATACCAAACGCCCGACGGAGACTGAGGCAACTGATATATTAATTTTTTCAACTGTGATCTCGCGCTAATTCACTCTGTCAGAAATCATGTATCATTCATCTCTGTCTGGAATAGTGTTGTTTCAGTATTAGGGTTTTGACGTCACATCATCATCATCGCCTCGTTTTCAGAGGTCCGAAAAATCGGGGATTTCAATAATTTTTTATAAAACGTAGGGAGCTCACAGCAAGAAACGGTTTGCGGTGGTGAGCTAGTTTGGATGAGTTCTATCGAATTATGAAATAAAATTGTTTTATTCACGACTAATATATTATACTTGTGGATTTTGAAGTATAATGCCATATATTAATCCCGCAGGGAATAAAGACTATTAATCCCTCGCCATTATTCCCTGCGGGATTAATATATGACATTATACTTCAAAAACCACAATTATATATATATAGTCGCAAATAAAGTAGAGTATACTACTCGCAATAATGGCTATTATTCTCTCGGAATGTTACTCCCTCGCCGCTAACGCGGCTCGGTTCGTAAAAAATCCTCGAGAATAATAGCTATCATTATTGACTCGTGGTATAATCTACTATTGTGATACAAGCCCATTAATTTAGTCTGTTTTATATTATTCAAAATGTATTTCATTTACATAATGTCTGGCTCTACACGGAAATCCGATTTGAAGTTCTGAAATAAAAGATAATTTTTGCTGAAATCAAAAGTGCAAACACATATTTTTGTGTTTTTTATAAAAATGTGCATACTCGAGATTTCCAAAACTGAAATGTAATTTGAATATATTTCTATTTCATCAAGCCAGGGCAGAACTGAAAAAAAAATAAATCGAGAATTTTTGCATGGACATTTTTTTAACTACAAAGCTTTCCATCAAAATATGGAACTGCCAATTTTCTGAATTATGCAGTTCATTTCTCTAAATACAATTCCAATCCCCCCCTTGATTTTTTGTTTTTGACGCCTATGCCGTTATAACATGGCTTATATTGATCAGAGAAGCATTGTGGTTTAAGGCAAATAAATAATAAATAAATAATAAGAATGGAAAGTACTTTATCTAGGATTCTAGGCCATGATGATAAGATAAGTTAGTGTTCTTGTAAAAACTGCTTTATATTAAATTCATGCATGATTTCTAAGACCGATTCAATCTCATGATATTGTTTAATCACATGAAAAGGAACTACTTGACTCAGCCCTTTTAAATGTACCGCTATCTCTCAACTAAAAAAAATCTTTCTGGAAACATGCAGTCATAAAATAGATTATAACTACAAATATTTCTGTACTATTTATTTGAAATGTTACATAAGTATTTTCACTTTATTTGCTATAGCTATCTAATCACCACACACCTTCAGTATTTTTTCTGATTTCACAATGATTCATTACTTGAAATATCGGCTTATATAAAAAAAACATATCAAACGATAATTTTCTTTCGTTAATTCTTTTTCGTGTATTCCAAACTGTTCCGATATTATAAGAAAGTTCTCTTGAAAATATTACGTATAGTCGCTGGATCTATTTTGCATCCAATCTTGAGAAAATACACCTTATTATAGATCAAAAGTATTCACAAGAATCAGCCATACCTATACCTAATTTGAAACTTGTTGTAATATTTTTGTTAAATCGAAGCTCATCTGATTTCTAGATAGGATACAAAAACACGTCCATTTTTATATAAAAGGAGCAATTCACACCTGATCTTTTAGCCCCGCATGAACAGAAAATGTCACACAATTTCTTCAAATAGATCGTCCACTATTTTTTTGCATTCCTCCTACATAGTGTCTGAAGCTGCAAATTATTCGATTTTGGAATTATCTGATTCAAAATGACATTTTTCGAATGAGCATATAATTTCCACTTGCCTCGAAATTTGTCATAATTGTAACAGTAGTCATTATTGCAGGAATCTAATATTTTCAGTTCCAAAATGACATTTTATAAGCTTCATACTATACATTTTTCCAATATCTCGTTATGAGAAATCGGTGCAAAGAAATCAATTTAAAAAATTTGAGCGGGAGAGATCGAAAGTTACTTCTAGTGTAAATATGTGAAAATCTTTCCCACAGTGTATAATTTTAGACGTGTGTTCGCATTTTTTCTGAAAATCATAATTTCAAGAGTAATTTTGATTGGATATTTTCGAAACAAATTGTATGCAGTGGTTTTTTATTTCAAATACATATACAGGGTTATTCATATAGAAGAGGTCCACGCCAAATTTTTCATCGAGATCAAAAAAGATATGCGAAAGTTGAATGCCGCAATGAGGCCTTTCCATTGCCTTTATCAAAAGTTTTACAGGGTGATTCCTAAAAGAGTGACAAACCCAAAATTATTTTCTTCAAATAGAACCCTGTCTTTTCATATTTTTTTCGGACTCTGTGATTTTTTGTGATTACAGAAATATACAGGCTGATTCACGATGGTGCCTTGGAGAATTAGTTGTGCTCTATCGACCTCAGCGCTGCGACGTTGCCGCCTATATTGAAAAGTAGCAACAACTATGATTTGTTAAATGGGACACCTTGTATATTATACCATTTTCAGATTGTCCCTGAAGAGCTGATTTCATTGATCTATAACACTTGTGGTCTTGGGGTCTATAAATACAGAGATATAGGGTGTGAAAAATCGGTATTTTTCAACTTTAAGATTTTTTGTATCGAAACTATTCATTATTGGTCAAAATGGTTTTCATGTCCCTATCTCAACTTTCTATTGACTATTTAATTGATATTTAATTGAAATAGGTACAGGGTGGTTCAGAGTTAAGATTTTCAACCACCCTCTGTATCTATTTCTATTAAATATCAATTGATAGTAGGTACATGAGAAGTTGAGATAGGGACATAAAAGCCCTTTGGAATAATTATGAATAGTTTCGACACGAGAAATCTCCATTTTTCACACCCTATATATCTTTGTTATCATTCCCGTTAGACCCAAAGTCCATCAATGTTTGACACTGAATAATCAGAAATAAGTGAAACTGATAGCATTTTTCCTTTGGAATTTCGAAAAAAACATTGATGATGGCTAAAAATAGTTCGAAACACATTCAAACCACCTTGTATAATACATGGTTGAATTCAGAATAAAAAAAGCTTTCAGAATCTGTGAAAGAATTATCAGGGCCGTATTTAAAAACAAAAGTTGATGATGGTTCTACGAATACGAAACGTCGCATAGAAAAATTGGTATCACCACGTTAAACGTCATCAAAAGTTGCTATTGAAAAGTATTTTCAGTTTTCCTGTATCTCTAATAATAACGGTGAAAAAAAATAAAATAGAGATTCCAAAAATGCAATTTTTTCGATATAACTGAAAAACTAAAAAAAAAATTAAAATTTTCGAAGGCTGTTGGTATGAGCCTCCGAATGCGCAAACTTCGTATCTCCTACCGTTTTCGAGATACCCATGCTGTGCAACCTTATCTTGGACAGACTGTATATATTTTTTTTGTTATCACAAAAATTCACAAATTCCGAAAAAAATATAAAAAACAGGGTTTTGCGTTTTAAAAAATCAATTTGTGGTTTGTCACGTTTTTAGGAATCATCCTGTACAACTAACAAGGGCATATTGTTTTTTTCTAGATGAAAAAATAACGTTAATATAGGAATAGTATAATAAGGTACATGCTTTTCGATTTTGTTTGGTTCTCCATTTCCGCTTTTGTTATCGTATGAGTATCTATGTCGGTTTCGGACATCCTGAGCATTGATTTGGTTACCCGCAGTATGGTGAAAAAGGATCCGGTACCCACACCAGGTCCGGGGAAGCCGAGGATTTTTACAAATTGCGCGACCAGTGCCTTCAAAACGGAACTCTCTACGAAGATCCCGATTTTCCAGCCGTGGATAGTTCCTTATTCTACAGCCAGAGACCAGACAGATATTATGAATGGAAAAGACCTGCAGTAAGTCAAATATGTATGAAGAATAAGTATGTCAGATGAACCCTTTTCGAATGAAATTGATTTGAACATAAATCACTTTTTGTTTTTTCTTTGATAAATAAGAAATACTATATTGTTTAACGAGCACGAAATGATAGTGATTTCCTACGGGAATGAAGTTTGCAGCATGAGCCATAGGCGAGGTGACAAATTTTACATTTTGCTTTCACCGTTTGATTCCTTCATCTTTTGTATATTGATTTATTTTAATTGATATCTTGTACCGTTTATGCATCCCCAACGTTTCAGAGTTGATAAAAACTCGCTATTTATTCAATTACAGCGTTCGTGGTAGTATACAAAAAACAATAATAAAATAATATAAGGTGACAACAACAACAATAAAAATCTATAAAATCTAAAAATGCTAAATCGATCAAGTCATAAAAATAGCCACAGGGACTAATCAGTAGATGGCAGAGTATCAATTTTATCCATTTCGTAATGAAATTATGTGTTTTTTTAATTCAATTTTAAATTTTGAAATATGTCTGCAACTTTTTATATTATGTGGTAATTTATTAAATTCAGCTAGAGCAGCGTGAGTAAATTTTTTTTGTCCAATTATAGAAGTAGCAGAATCAAGATGAAATAAGTTTAATTGTCTCGTGTGATGACCATGAATTTCTGAGTTTCTTACCAAAACAAAATTGGATTTCAGATTATTGTTTATTATATTATATGAAACTTTAGGAGAATCTATTTTATATAATTCATCCAATGAAAATTTTTCAGTTATCGCATACAGATCATTTGTTGGGATATCAAATGAGAGGCGATACAATACTTTCAGACATTTCTTATAAAGTGCAGATATTTTACTGAAATAATTTTTTGAACAAGATCCCCAAACGTTTATCATATAGGTAATACGACTGAGTATATGAGAATGAAGTACTATGTTTATGACTTTTTTGTCAAGTTTCGCAAAGCTCCAATGATTGGAGATATTTTTTGTATCAGAACTTCTATATGCTTGTCCCATTTCAATTTTTCATCAATCCACAAACCAAGATACTTTATTTGTGTAGTTCTTTTCAATACTTTATTTTTAATTTGGAGATTGAGACTAATATTCTGTTTATTTTTTTGATGGAATATTATATATTCAGTTCCATTGATGGTGTTAATTGATAAAATGTTTGAATAAATCCATTTTTCAAATTTTTTCAAATCTTCGTTAATAATATTTTCTAGAATGATGGGGTTTTTGTTTACGTATAAAAGTACAGTATCATCTGCATATATAGTATAATTACCTGACAATCCAATTTTAGAAATATTTTGAATATATAATAAACACAAGATGGGCCCTAAAACAGATCCCTGTGGAACACCTTTACTTATTGGAAGTTTGTTAGACTCTGACATATTACATTTAGTGCTGATTGTCCAATTCGCAAGATAAGATTCTAAAAGATTTTTAAGAATGCCTCTGACCTCTGAGTCCCATCGATTCCAAGTATTCTAAGAGATTCTTATGGTCAACTGTATCAAATGCCGTTTTAAGGTCAATGAAAATAGCTACAACGTAATTTCCCGTAAATAATGCATTCATAATACGGATAATCACAAGAGAGGATCACGGTAGTAGTTTCTTCATTCTATTCTCAGTTTTAAAATGTTCTGCTAGGTTTCGTTTTCTTTCTAAAAATACCTTGAAGCATAAAGTTAGTCAAAACAGGTCAAGTACCTATCTTTCAAGAGTCATCACTACAAACTATACAAATTTTCATGGAACATGTATGAATAACTATTTAATATAACTAATTATTTCCTATCTATGTGGTGGCTATTGTTTATGAATTGTATGGGTAATTCATTCCTCCTAAAAGTCATAAATATTAGATGAACAAAAAACCATTTCCCTATCTAATTTGAGATAATGTATTCTGAAAGACATGCTTATTTGTTGATAAAGACAATAAGCTGCATTGATATCATTCCTGTTATAAACATTTGTCATACTTTTGGCACACAACACAAAGATAAATCATGAGTCATAAAAACAGATTGTCTGCTTTTTCATTCAAGCGAATCGACTACAGGATGACAACAGATACTGTTGAATCTCATGGATATTTTTGTGTTATAGGAAATCGTGAATGATCCGCAATTTTTCGTGGAAGGCTACTCCCGATTTGATGTGCAGCAAGGAGAGTTGGGAGACTGTTGGTTGCTAGCAGCAGCAGCAAACCTGACCCTGTACAGGCGATTGTTCTTCCAAATTGTACCTGATGATCAAGATTTCGATGACAAGTATGCTGGTATCTTCCATTTCAGGTATATGAATCTGCATACACAGATTTTTTTCTAGCATCCCAGTTTTTTTACAATTCAATTCAGTAAGTAGTAGCTGAACATGATTTACGAATGTTGCGCCATCTATTGAATACGAACTCTCTTAGTATATGAACATTGATTGAGGAATCCTATGAAGTAAATACAAAATATTATTCCATGTATTGCAGTAGAAACAGTAAACACTGATAATCGCAAAATTTTATCATCTTTTGTTGAATTTGTTATGAGTTATTGTTCATTGTTGATGAATTTCATAAAAAAACTACCTATCTATATGAACAACGATTGACTAATTTTTTTTCTTGCAATACAATTCCGTCTAGAATAATGAATTTTCACTGATAATTTTAGTGCTCCAGTTATTTCTGAATATTCTCAGGAAAAACCCAAGGCATATTATTTGCGAGTTTAAGCACTTGAGGGTCAAGTGAAAAAAAAATCAGTGTCATTCCAGCGATGGAAAACAAATTTATAATCTTCACTATAAATGCTCAGGCATTTTACTTGATCAACTACACGCATCATCAACCTCACCTAACAACCGCTTCATGAACATTGATACGTCGCTGGCGCGCTTTCATCGGATCATTCTATCTTTACAAACATGATACAAAAGTTAGTAGAGGAGGGTGAATAACGCATATGAGAATGACATTGAGAGGTGGTAGATCAATGATACTTCAGTTCAGTACAATCAGTTTGCATATGTTAATTTTAACCAACTTTTTATGTTCAATCAACATGATGACGGAATGAAGAATATAAAAATCATTAACAAATATATTTCACAAATAAAACCAACCTAACATATTCTCCAGATTTTGGCAATATGGAAAATGGATAGAAGTTACGATAGATGACAGGCTACCCACTTACAGAGGACAACTAATTTACCTACACTCAACTGAAGAAAACGAATTCTGGAGTGCCTTGCTTGAAAAAGCGTATGCCAAGTAAGGATTTTCATCATGCTTGGCTGTTCATTATTTGACATATAAATTGCTTGAAGGTTACATGGTTCTTATGAAGCTCTAAAAGGCGGTTCGACTTGTGAGGCCATGGAAGATTTCACAGGTGGTGTTACAGAAATGTACGAGTTGAAGGCTAGTCCACCAAATTTGTTTCAAATTATCTTGAAAGCCTATGAAAGATCATCGTTGATGGGATGTTCCATAGAGGTGAGTTATTATAGAACAAAAATTTGCTTTATTTACTTATGTAAAAATAAAAAACTATTCACCCATTGATTTTTTCTCGATTTTATTCGGGAAATCAAATCTTTCTCACTTTATTTTCTTCAGACCATTTGACCAATCAAAATTGAGAAAGGCAAATCGTTGTTCTCAATGAATACATTTCCTCCGCTGACTATAATTATGCATAATAATACAATAAATGACTATTATAAATCATAATGTATACCGCACACGACATATCACTTGATATATTTGAAAATTATCATTTCACTTGGGTATAATAATGACACACCTCATCAACAATTAATTAAATGGAAAACAAATACAATGTTTCCCACTTGACATTAATTTCAACTTTAAAAAAATCATCATCCCATATGAATATTGCATACTCACATTTTCTATCTCAAAAACATATTCTGTTATTACTAGATACCTACCACTTCTGGTTAATCCAGTGAAAAATTGGATAGCTGGTCAAAATATACCTTTGTTTTCTTTGTTTTTCAGCCTGATCCCGAAGTAGTGGAAGCAGAAACTCCAGAAGGTCTCGTTCGCGGTCATGCGTACAGCATAACTAGAGTACAATATGTCGATATACAAACACCGAACGTCTCAGGAAAAATTCCATTGCTGAGGCTACGTAACCCCTGGGGCAATGAATCTGAATGGAATGGTCCATGGAGCGACAAGTAAGACCTCTACATCTGTATTTATTTTTACGATACCATGAATCGACTTAAAGCAAGAAAATATAATCGGAAAATGGCCAAGAACACAAAATATAAGAGCATCTTGCAGTCCTGTGTATCAATACTTTCAATCATATTGTCTTGAAAGAACTCTGAAAGAATTTTCGGTGTTCCGCAAGGATATGTTCTTGGCCCATACTGTTCTCGATATACATAAATGATTTGGCACCAATCAGATTCGAACGAAAATTCACGATTCGTGCAAATGACAACAGACATCTCTCATTTATCTAAGTGACTGTCTAGAAACTAATGGAGTCTCGGTTTCAGTGCTCCAGAATGGCGGTTCATCTCGGAATCGGAAAAAGAAGAGCTCGGGCTGACGTTCGACAACGACGGAGAATTCTGGATGGCGTTCAAAGATTTCCAGCGAAGTTTCAGCAGATTGGAGATCTGCAATTTGAATCCGGACTCTTTGTCAAATGAGGAACTCAAGGAGGGGAACAAAAAACGATGGGAGATGTCGATGTACGAGGGCGAATGGGTTAGAGGAGTGACGGCCGGAGGATGTAGGAACTTTTTAGGTGAGGATTAAAGTTATATTTTTCTACACACAATTAAAATAGCATTAAGCGTACGTATATGTACCACGTCAAATGATCGATTAATAACGAATTGACGATCAACACAATTTCTGAAACTCATTACCATGTCGACACAGTTTTTTAAACACACTTTCAGTCGTTTGAGTCCTGTCTGGCCTGTCAGTAAACATGTCTCTTTTGTTCCATGCAGTTGCAATAATGTATTATCTTCGCCTATAGCTCATGCCGCAAACTTCATTCTTGTCGGAAATCACTATCATTCCGTGCTCGTTAAACAATATACTATTTCCAGGATGAAGAACTACTTTACTTCAGGCGCTAGCTGACGCAGATAGCGAGTCCAAAGGTCGGTTGAACTGGTGATAATAACTAACAGTTCAACCATAATATCCCCAATAATTCCCCATCATCTATTATTGTAATATCAGCTTCTAGATAGTGTTCTTTCATTTTCAGAATCTTTTTGGCACAATCCCCAATACAGAATAACGCTGACTGAAGTGGACGAGGGTGATGATAATGATGGGGAATGCACAATGATTGTCGGCCTGATGCAAAAAAACAGGAGACTGATTACTCATAGGACAGGTGTTGATTTGCTGACAGTAGGATTCGCGATATATCATGTAAGTAATTATTTGACGATTTTGACAGAATCATGGTACATCCCTTCTTCTTCCTCAAGTTTCAGGGATGAGTGATTGAAATATGGAATGACCCATCAACTTGATAAACGTCACGTTTCATTTTCCACCTCCAGTTCCACCAGAAGTAGTGATAACTTTTGATTTTCTATATATAATACTAGAAATAATAAATCTTGTCAAAAACTTCAAGTTTCTTGATTTATCATCATATTAAGTTCATCAAAATGGTTTGGTGTACCATGATCCTGTTTTTACAGCCGGTATATTAATGAAATAATGAAATTAATGAATGAAATATATAATTATTGACTTCTTTCTCTCCTTAAATGAATCATTATGATACTGTTGATTATTAGAAATGAGACACAAAAGAATATTTGCTCATGAAATGAAATATGTTATTCGATTATACAGGGTGGCATTGAAATAAGTGCAAATGTTTCAAACACTGAGAAAGCTCGACGTGTACTATCGAATGCCACTAATAAAAAAAATTTGGGGATCAAAATAAAATTTGAGGTTAGACCTCTTTTTCCACCCAAAGTTCTACACTGTAGCAAATTTGACGTCATCTCTGTTCAAATTTCCATGCGGCAGGCACAATCACTTGATTTTTTTCTCGTAGTTTGTTCAATTTTTGGGATGAAATTTCTCGTTGATAAGAAGAATTAGAAAAAAAATTGATATCATGGTAACATTCCTTAGACTGCATCATATTAATGTGCTGAATATGTGCACTTATTTCAAAAACACCTTGTATAGGTGTCTAGATAGTAGTTACATCAGTGATTGTATCTGCAAATCACAATGAAAACGTGCGCATTCACTTGTCAGAGAATGCAATTTCTCTGAAAAAAAAAGTTCTAATCGTCATTTTGTTGCCCCCTTACAAGCAACCATCAAAAGTCTTCAAGAGACTTGAGCGAGCAAGGAATGATGTGGGTCTCCCTTTCTACCTTGTGATCCCAAAAACTTTTTTGGTCCATCAGAAAAATGTCTGCAGTCATTTTGGATTTGAGCCCACGACTGGCAAGCCATCGCGATAAGAATACTAACGTTTCTACCACGAGGCTACCTGACCCCTTCAGAGACCAGGGGCGGGCCTACCTCTTGTTCCTAATAGACCTAAACCGACCCCTTTGCTTCCAGCTACCGAATCCGGACAGAGTCCCCAAACCGTTGGACCTCAACTTCTTCAAATACAACGCCGCGATTGCCAGATCTCCCTCCTTCATCAACCTGCGCGAGGTCAGCTGCCGCTTCAAACTGCCCCCCGGCACCTACTGCATCGTTCCCTCCACCTTCGATCCCAACGAGGAGGGGGAATTTCTCCTGAGAGTCTTCACGGAGAAGGAGAACATCATGGAGTACGGTTACGATCACCAAGATATTAGCGAAATCAGGGGCAATGAGGTCGAGGAGGAGGACGTCGAAGCCGAACCGACAGCCCCCTCTTTTCCTCAACCTCATAGCCCCAGCTACCCCTCGCCACCAAGCCCGGGAGGTTTCCACCATCCCCAATCCTCCTATTCCAATTATCCTTCCTCCCCTGGTGGGTTTTCGGGGTACCCCGGGTACCATCAGCCCTCTGGGGAGTACCAACAACCTCCTGGGGGGTATCAACCGCCTCCTGGGGGGTACCAACCGCCCCCTGGGGGTTATCAACCGCCACCCGGGGGTTATAATCAGCACCCTGGGGGTTATAATCAGCACCCTGGGGGTTACCAGCCGCATCCTGGCGGCTACGATCATAACCTAGGGGGGTACCCGCAGAATTCTGGGGGTTATTACCCTCCTGTGCCTAATCAGTACCCGGGGTATCCCTATCCGAATCCGCCGCCCCAAAGGCGTGATGATGGGGAATTGAAGGATCCCATTAAGGGTATTACGAATTTTTTTAACAAGCTTTTTAAGTAGTTTTTGTTGAAGATATTTTTTTTGAGCGCTCACGCACTAATGTTGATTTCAAGGAATATCCTCAAACTAATCTCGATAGGGAATATAAAAGTGGTGCATACTTCCGAATATTTAAGTAGTTTTCTTTGGTTAAGTTGTTGAATTGAAATAAGTTAGGCAGCGCAATTGAATCATGGGAGAGTATAAATTTCAATTGGCTTTTGTTCATTTTATATCTCATACCGAACCCGTCCAAGAGAATTCAAATTATCTAATGATTTCATCAAATGGAAAATGAATCTCATCACGATGTATAATCTGCTGATAAAACTGAAAATTTGATTGATAATCTTAACTTTTTAATCATGAAAGACTAATATGAAGTGAACATTTGGGAAACTACTGAAATATCTTCCACAGCGCTCATTACCAGAAAACTGGTATTTAACTAATTGAATTATTTTTTGTGATAATGAAATAGAATAGAAATTCTTGAATCTCAAGATTTGCTTAGCAATTCAGTATACCTTCATAACATATAATACTCATCGATGTTACGAAATTAAAAACTGTTGAAGATATGAGATTATTCAGGTCCCTAAAAATTTATTCTTGCTAAACATATAATGCCTCAATATCGAAATAGTCTAGTCTAAACTCTTCGCTTATTTCATTTGTTTACATACATCCAAAGATGTGATTTTTGAGATGAGATTTCTTATGTATGACTAAAAAAAACTAGATACATGTAGATACTAATATAATTTATGGTAATTATATTGTTGGGTAAGATTGCTTCAAAATGTCAAAACTTAACTCCCATATTAACAATTAGGTGAAACTATGGTTGAGAGAGTTAATCAGATAGTTGTTGAAAACAAAACACTACTTGAGAAGAATGGTGCTAGAAATTATTCAAAGAATGAAAATTAGCTACGTCTCAGGTGCTTATTATTCTCTATCTGATTCCTCTCCAATCATTTTACACCTCAGTATAACTATTTCACATATTTAATATTTGAGCATAGCTCTCATTCAAAGAAGCTAAGAGTAGGTGAGAAACTACTGTAAATTGAGTTTTTGTGTACTGACGTTTTTCAGTTTTTCAAGTATGATCTTGACAAGCATTTCACCCCGTGCCTAATGTGCCACAGTGTGTTCAACTTCAAGTGAAACCACGATCTTTTTTTTTTCGTGTAGACAAGGCAAATCACCAATTTTTGCAAGATCTAGTTACTCAAAGGTTGTCTATTTCCCTCGAGATGAGGAAGTTGGTGGTTCTCAATCGACGTACATTTCTAGAAAATTTTGGAAAATTGAAATGTTGAATCACCCATCCTACTCCTGAATACGGGAATGGTTACACTGAAAGTGGGACGCATTGTAGTTTCTGTTTAGTATTATCATGGTATCATTTAATATCCCATTTTTTGGTATAGTTTCACTCATCAATAGATCTTGTACGTATCATAAAATCAAATAAGTTTGAACAGTTTACTGAAACTTTTAGAATGGAGAATTCAGGGCGAGGAAGGCGCGAAAATAGTTGAAGCTACAGCAGTAAGTGGTAAAATTACAGGCTGTAGAGATGGTCGTTGCCCCACATTCATGGTTATTCTTTTCCAATCTGCAGAGTTTTGTTGCTTAGATTCACAAATTGCATTGTTCAAACTTGTGAGATTTTGTGTCACCCAATTCGAAATATTTGTTTTGTTTTTTCATTGTTTCCATTTTTCAGACGTTTTGTAATGATGTTAGTGTATTTTAAGACGTAGATTTTCTATTCAGTCAGTTCAGGTAAAGCTATTTTTAATGTTGGATCAATATACGAAAATAAAATTGTTCGTCCACTTGCTGGTGTTATTTTAACCTGTACAGTTTTGTTTTCATAACTTCTTCCCCACTTAACAGCTCTGCTTCCGTTTGATCTAACACTCATCATTTTTATAGGGAAAATGATGATCAAGTAGGCTATGGAGAAGTTGACATCAAAGTAAGTCAATCAAGCTTAAATATCGACGTATTCATATGCTTTCATCATTTTTTTTGTTCGTTAGGAGCCTGAACATGTTTCTTATAGGATTGATTTCTAGGTATCTACTGCAGTTTTCTACTCCTTGGTCTTGTACACTAGCAACCGGCTTCATAATCAGCTTCAATTTTTTGTTTGCTAACTAAAGACTAATGCCCTGCCATGAATAAAGAACTAATTTGAATGTAAGTTTGCTTCTCGAATTTGTACACTTCATGTTTGTACAGGGTGGCCAACTAAGAATTCAGAGTTCGATACCTCTGATGTCTCGAGAGATACAAAAAAAAGTTTCGCATTCAAATTGAAGTGATAACCGAGCTTCACATTTCAAAATTTCTTTGAAATACACAGGGTGTTCCGTAAGGTCACAGCACATCAAAGCTATGTTTTTTTCATTAGAACACCCTATATTTATTTTAGTTTTGAATTCTGCCTGAAGATCTGATTTCAACGACCCATCATTTAGGCTCTAGCAGTGAAAGTTACTGACATATGAGGTGTGCAAAATCGAGATTTTGCAAGTTCAGGATTTTTTTCTGTCGAAACTGTTCATTATTCGTTTACATGTCCGTATCTCAACTTTTCACTCACTATCAATTGGTGTTCACTTGACATTTAATTAAATCAAATTATAGCTTTAGATTTATTGACCACCTTGTATCAATTTCAATTGAACACCATTTGATAGTGAGTGAAAAGTTGAGATAGGAAAATGACGAATAATGAACAGTTTCGAAAGAAAAAAATCCTGAACTTGGAAAATCTCGATTTTGCACACCCTATATGTCAGTAACTTTCACTGCTAGACCCTAAGTATGATGGGTCGTTGAAATCAGATCTTCAGGGAGAATTCAAAAATGAAATAATATATAGGGCGTTCATATGAAACAAACATAAATTTGATATGCTGTTACCTCATGGAACACCCTGTATATTCCAAAATAATTTTGAAATGTGCTGCTCGGTTATTACTTCAATTTTGATACATGACTTTTTTTGTATCTTCCAAGACAACAGAGAACTCGAACTCTGGAGTCTTAGTTGGCCCATGTACACTTTAGCTGAAAACAAATATTTTGCCGGCTGTGCATTTTTTTAGGTATTTTTTTATCAAATACACTGTACATACATAAAAACTATTCCAAGCTTCATTTCATGTATTTCACTTTTGAGAATTGAGAAAAATGTTGCTTGCTTTCTTCTACAGCATACTGAAAATATCGAAAAACGGTTTATAGAATTTTGACTACCAAATCTTCAATATCAAAATGATATCCACAATTTTTCAATGTAGTCATTACTCCAAAACATACTGAACAAATGTAATTTCTAAGTATTTTATGTAAATATGTATTATCTGTAAAATTGTATAAGGTACTAGATAAACATCAGAGTTGTAATAGAAAAACCCCTCACACAGGTCGTTCAGGAACCGACTGATGTTGAAAAAGAAGAAACCGACAAAGTCTATGAATTCTTTAAAAAGTTGGCAGGCGAGGACCAAGAAGTCGATTGGATGGAGTTGAAAGAAGTGCTAGATTTTGCCTTGAAAACAGGTACAGTAATTTTATCTTTATCTACACCATGAATTTCCAAAAACGTTGCCAAAACCACTGCCTTTACGGAATGTAACCAAAATGTATGGGCTCAATCGTTCGTTCACGTTCAATTACTATGAGTTCCGTTTTTAGAATTCATGAATAATTCTGCTTAAACCTTTGAAACTTCAAAAACTATTATTTATTATGGTAATGTGGCGTAGAAACTTTACTGTTCGTTTGAGGAAAAAAAATACTAATTCAGGTTGTATATCTTCCTAAAAACAGAAAAATTCCTTCTATTTCTCGAATATTAGATGATGAATTTTGCCAAAACAAAAACCATAATGAGAGGTAGTAGTAAGACTTTTTCGAAAATGGAGATCAAAAAACTGAAACTGGATTATTAGCTTCTCATTATCAAAGGAGTACATACAGACTCAGAAGTGCCAGTATTCCTAAATCACCTTGTGTATTCAGTTGGAAAGAACCCCATTAGAAAGTCAGACTCATCAAAGAAATATATATTTTTAAAGCTAAAACAATGTGAGATCATAATATATATAACACAATTTAAAACTCAACACTTATCAATGTAATTAGCCACCCAATGAGGGTTAAAAAATCTGACCAACAAAGCACACCGTGAAGCATTTCAATATTTTAGAAAATATTCAAGGTATAATGTGAGAAACAAAGTTAGTATTTGTTTCTCAGCTTTGTGATATTCATTTGTTTCATCTGGACGAATTTTTCGGTCGTTGGCCCTCTAGTGGCACCAACCTCCAACCCTCATCATAGTAGACGCATATTTAGACCAATCAGAGGAATTCTACGTAGGCCGTAATTTTTAAATACTTAAAACGGCGCATTCGCAACAAAAACACTTTTTTTGGGTCTGTAACAACATTTTAGGCAAGACAGATCAAATTTATCATTTTATTGACAAAATTGGAATTGATATTTGATTTTGATATACTTTACTATACTCTCATCAAGATAAACCCATCAATCGGATATAAAAAATTAGATTGCTACTGGAGGAGAAGTGTGTGCAAGTATTTATAATTTTCTCATGATGATCCAAAGCGCATTCCCTTCTAGAATGAATTAACCGAAGGGTCCGTCGACAAGCATTTTTTTAAATAAATATTTGTGAATATAATGTATTGAAGAATGAACTAGAGGCTTCTATGAAGAAAATTCAAAGTGTCCATTTATCCACATGGATTATTTGTTGCGCCCTGTCTCTTCTACGTCCTGTCTCTAGATTCTTCTTATCGGCTATTATAGAATTTGTGCATCATCAACGGGAATCTTCAGGTCCCGAAAGAAGGAAAATACATCATTAAAAGTCTAGTTTAACTTCATAATAAGATTCGAAACGCATTTTGAAATTTTTCAAGAAATTGTCCGTCGGTCACGCCATCTATCATCGAATATGAGAAGCCCACGTGTCGAAATCGCATTCAATTATTCATATCGAGAGCTAGTATGACGAAACAATCGAAGAGTGTGCACACCAGAGGATTTAAAAACATCTCACCTACTTTACTGTCAACATTTGGTAAACAATCATTCCCTATAGCCCGTTATATGCAAATTGGATGACCATAATTGCTCTCTCTCTCTAATATACATGTGTGCTTTTTTTTCAATACGACTGTACTGATTGATTGGCTTTTAATCCAGCGATGGACCCTTATTGCAGAGTAAACAAATTTGAACGTGGATCGGGCGCGAAAAATTCAAATACCAGTTCAGCAGCCTAATGTCCCGATTGGTCTAAAAATACGTTCAGACCCAAATTCGAGGCCATTTTAATTCTCTAACCTAGTTATCATCCCCGACACTACCTTCATCGCTCGAACACCTACAAAACGGACAATGTCCGTTCTGCAACGTCTGCAACTCGAAGTCGTCCACGTGGAAACACTTGAAGCAAAATTCGCACATGCTGACGTGCAAATCGGGCAGCAGGTTCCTGAAGAACCGACGCTTCAGCGGCATCGGCCATCTGCAAACGACAACGCTGGAGCTGTCCAGAGAAAGGAGAGTCTCGCGATCGACGACTACCGGTTGGAAACGACCGTCTTTTGTGATTTTCGTGGCGAAAGGATCGGATTCTTCTTCTTGAGGGTGGTCGAGTCTGAGGGTTTGTTGGTTTTCTTCGATGCTTTCCTTCCAGTTTTCACGTTTTTCCGAAGGAGGCGTCTCTATCAGCCTACGAATCCGAAAATGACAAACTGAGATCGAGAATGGAATCAAGTTGAAGGAATATCACGTGGGGGACGGTATTGGGTCCCATGTCATTTACTATGTATTTAAGAAGAGAATTATTAGATATAGATTCACTATATAAATTCAAATTAATGTCGTTCATTCATTCAGTTAAACATTGTCAAAAGCATTCAAATTTGGTTTTCCAAGTCAATAGTAATCACCACAACCATACAACCAGACAAGCAGATCATTTTTCTGTCAAGAAAATTAAATCAGATATTGGTAAAAAATTCATCTATCACAATGGAATGATACAATACAATTCACTACCAAATAACTTGAAGCTGATTAATAGGATTGAAAAATTTAAAAGAGAATTCAAGAAACAACTACTCCTGTAATATTGACATCTTATCTCATTTTTATAGTTTTCTTGTACAACTACTATAGTTTTCAATTGTGTACCTAACAGCTGAGTCAATTGAGGATCATTTTCATTTGAACTTAAAAAAAAAAGATTCTTTTTGAGTGTGAGTCTTATTTTACTCTCTTCTTTATTTTATTTTGTCAAATATATTTATGTATTCACTATGTTCCCTGCTATAAACAAATGTTGTTTCTTGGGAATAATAAAGTTGATTGATTGATTGAAATTACATATTTTCATTAGAGAAGGAAGCCAGAATCATCAGCCTTGCTAATAAAAATTTTCGCATCTAGTGATGAGAATCTGTTTAATTTGAAACTCAAAAATAAAAAAATACTACTAATAAAATGTCTGGCTCATGAAAGTAAATACTCAGAGAGTATTCGCGGGAATCAATGTTACCAGGTGGCGCTCGGTTTTCATCGTTCCATGTCAAAACCACGTCAAAACTGGGGGAAAACAATCCCAATCATCACTCAATCCCATTAGTGCCATTAGCTTGTGCACTGTGTACTGATAAGAATGATAAGTTTTTAAATTTCTTGACATTAATTGTCAATATTCTATCGAAAACGCTAATAACGTCGGTTGTAGATGTTCTTTTGGCAGATATTTTGCTCTATTTAGATGGAAAAAGCCGACCAGTAGTGGAAGGAGAAGCAGTTCTCCGTGCTAATCATGTGATTTTGTGTGAGGCAGAAGACTTCAACAAAAGGAACATTTTTGATTTTTTGCACTTTGTCCACAAACTTCGACAATGAAATCTTCCCCACAGGAAGTAAAATTGGAGTTGGGGTCCAGAGGAACTCCTATAGAACAATGGATTTGTATTTGTTCCTGCAAAGCAGGACAATCTGGGTATTGTAAACATGTTGTAGCTGTTCTTTTATATGTCAATTGATTTGCTCCACATAATAAGTTTGAATTGTTTGAACTATCTCCAATTCTTCACCCGTTCACTGTTCACTAAACTAATAAAAATGTAATAGTCATAATAAGTTCGAATTGTTTGAACTATTTCCAATTCTTCACCCGTTCACTGTTCACGTACTAAACTGATAAAAATGTAATAATGTGAAAAAATTAACCAACTCAACCATCATCACTACCAACAGTGCCAACACTTTATGTCATTGACAAGTTTGACTACAGTTACAGCAAGCTGAAAGCAATGTGGTCTATGCACTTTATCCATAGACAACAGTTTGTTTTCCCCCAGTTTGAAGTTCGTATTTATGTGACCTAGATGTCGCCCACTTCGTGAATCTCGCGAATAATCTTGCATTGTTGGTTTGAATTGAATATCTTGGCTACCTATAGACTACCTAATTCTGAAGTTGAGATGCAAATTATATAAATACAAAAAAAAAACAGTCCTGGGGAGCTGCTCATACAGGCAACAACTTTTTCATTAAAGACCCTCTTAATTCAGGTACACTCCCCTCGTAAAGGTACCTATGAAAAATAAAAATCCTCTGAAATTGAGAATTGACATCCTTTAAAATCGGATAAATAATATGATGTAATATGATATGTTCAATAGATATCCTCTACCAATGTTTGTCGTGGCACGAAATCTTCGCAAGAGTAACAAAATGAAGATAACTAATCGATCATCTCGCTTAAAAGAATTGAGAACCCTATCACCACCCCTAAGAATGTTCTGAAAAAGATGTCAGAGGGTGAAGGTTTCAACCCTTCTACAATTGCTTTCAAGTTTCTTTGATCACTGAAAGGAGGGTTCTTCTCTGAAATGCACTTTTGTCGAATTTCATCAAATTTGTTTGACTCATTTTTGAACAGCGCACAAAAATATGTTTTGGGATACTGGAATCAAACACATGGTAAATCGGAAATAAAACTGGCCCCAACACCGATCCTTGCGGTACCCCACATAAAATTCTATTCGCTCCACTTGACCGATTCAATTACCTTTCTGCTTCTTCGTCGCTAATCCCCTCCTCCAAATGAAACTCCACCAAAGGCAACAGCTCGAAACTGACGAAAGAATAGACGAAACTCTCGCCGCAATTGACACAATCGTTCGTGTCTCCCGACAGCGGATTGTAAGTGGAACACCGATAGCACATCGGCAACAACTCCTCGGGATCGCTGTAGGGTTTAGCTCTGGACGATACGGCGGCTATTTCGACTTGCTCCTGGAACTTGGGCGGTACGACCAAATGGCGGATTTTGTCGAAGAGCTGTTTGCTCAGCTTGTTGGCGCCGAGCTTTCTAGCTTGTTTGGCCAGGGTGTAGAGGATGGAGAATGTGGATACGCCTTTTATCCTTTTCTGGTGGGTCTCGATCATCAAGAACCTGATGATGACAATGATGATGATCAATTTCTGTAACTATCAGCTCTCAAATACCGAACATTTTTCGTTTTGAAGGATATTGATTTGATTTTTTTTATAAAACCTTTGGTAACTATTTTTATTCAAAGTCGGAAGTCTAAACCGATACGGTCGATTCCAATAAAAAAATTCAATTTCATAATGCGATTTTGTATTTTTCTCAATGTTTTTATTAGTTATTTACCTGGCAATGTTGAAAAGCGCCTCCGGCATATACGACGTGAACGGTTCCTCCAGATACTTGTGGATCGTATTATATGCATAGTAAATTTCGGCCAACTTCTCGTTTTCGCGAAACCGTTCTAGATAAACCTCTCGCTTCGCCTCGTTCTCTCTACACATATCCAAATACTGCCTGGAAACGATCCAATAGTAGTACCCGGCATCGTGGTACCGTTTTTCGCTGACGGCATTGTTAGTCAGCTGCGCGAAGACCTTGAAGGCCTCTTCGGCTTTCCCCGCCTTGTGGAAGGCCCTGATCGAGAAGTAATGCAAGTCATAGCCTCTCTTAAGAATTCAGGAAGAATGGACCTCAAACTAGAGAGCAATACATAGACACTGTGCGATTCATCCATATATCAAGGAAGAGTATACGGTAACAATCCTAAACGCCAAACACGGATAAATGAATGAAATCGCGAATAGTGGGGAAAATTGGGATTTCTATGAATGTATGTATCTCCATTAGTAAAGTAGCTCGCACGTGTAGTTACATAATCATGCGTCATTTTGTAACGTCTTTGTGGGGTTATTTGGTATTTTAAATATTTTGGAACCTATGAAATATCAGATTAGGATATTTGTAACTAACTTTTCTCTACAGATTTGACACTGCCGAACCATATTACAAAATTATTACAGACCAAAATAGTCTGCTTTAGATTTTTTATGATATTAAATGAGTTACTGTAACACCGAATACAAATCATACAACAGCCGGAAAATCATCAATAACAACAAAAACGGCAATTATTTAATAATGTTATAGCTGAAAGGAAATCAGCATATTCCATTTGATATTTCAAAAAGCTAGTTATGAAGGTGAAGCCGTGACGCATTAGTCTCGAACTGTAGCTATCTCTCTCTGATACCTTGCCATTCTGCAGTGCCATTGGTCAGCTAAAGGATAATAGGCGTGTTGGGTCTTATACGTCACACTAATGAATTTATACCAAGTCAAATGGCGCAGGAATTGCATGATTTGAAATGAACATATTTTAATAATTTTTTTCTACTCTGGTTCCCACGAAAAGGGATATCCTGTAATGTTCAGAGAACATCGTGAGAACCAAGGGAAATAAGGTAGGAATTGGTGTTCTTCTTAAATTTCTGAAGGTTATATGCCTCGTAAAACACCTCCCGTGTATTCCAGAGCCTCGCTGTTCGTTGGATGAACGAGTCTTTGGAAAGAGATGTTCTGCAGGTCTCCACAGTGACCACGAAGGGGTGCGAAGCCTCTACTCGACGGGTTAATCTCGCGGGGACTGCCAAGGGAGGAACAATTGTTGATATTTCAGAAGAGCATCGTCCATGGAAATATCTATAAAATAGAGCCAGATCGCCAACTTTTCTACGGTGTTCCAGAGAAGTGAGTTTGTGAGCGAGGCATCACCCACGAAAAGAATTGCCTTATTTTGGAAAGAATCCAACAGTTTCCGGTTATGTTTGGGTGCTGCACTCCAAATATGGAAACAGTATTCCAGGGCAGGTCGGATCTTATAGATCATAAGCAGCTAACTGGAAGTGAACTAGCTCCTGGCCCGAAACAGAAAACCAAGTTTGTGGGATGCACCTTTAGCAATTGATCCCACGTGATTTTCCCAAGAAAGGTTATGTCGAATGTGACCAATCAGTCAGTAATTCCTATCGATCTATCCGAGATCTATCTATCTAGAAAGGCAGGAAGTGTCATCTCGACTGGTATGCGATTGCAAGAGGGAACTGAGAACTCTGGCAGACCGGAACTGCGTCAAGCTAATCTGGGTGCCAGGTCATCAGGGGATCGTTGGCAATGAGAAGGCTGACGAACTTGCAAGAAGAGGGTCGGACAACGAGCCAGATCCAGGACAGACTCTTGGAGTACCAAAACGTACAGAACGAGTGTCAGTTAAAGACTGGATTCAGGATTCAGGCAATACATAAACGAACTGTAGACCAGCTCAACTTGAACAGAGCACAGATAAAAACTGTTACGGGACTCATGACTGGCCATGCGCCAGTAAAGAAGCATCTCGCCAGAATGGGACTGTACAATGGCGACCCAAGCTGCAGACTATGTGGCAAGGAACCAGAAACAGTAGCACATATACTGCGCCGATGTGAGGCATTGGACCGCAGAAGACAGAAGATCTTTGGGCAACCAAATGGCGAACCAGAAGTGTTCGACTCACATCCAGTGAAGAATTTGTACAGACTTGTTCAAGGTACAGAGATAATGGAGTGGGCACAATAAAGAACTACTAGGTAAGATACAATCGGCCACCATAGGCCTAAGTGTCGTCGGAGACATGGTCAGACGAGCCTACAAAAGGGGTGGAGTTCTAAGTGGGTAAACCCTGACTAGTCAGGGGAGTCCCACGCCATCATATGGGGGACGGGACCCATATGGTGTCCATGAAGGAATTAAACCACCTCGACAAAAAAAAAACTATCTATCTATCTATCTACCTTTGCGCCTGCAGGAACTGATCGCTCTCGGCCAGCCATTCGGCGTAGGGCACGTACACCAAGGAGTTGTATTGGGGTTGGTCGCGGCAGAGGGCGAACGCTTGCGTCCACTCTTTCGCTTCGACGTGCAGTTGTAGAACTGCTGCGGAATCGCCGAGCCTTCGGTAGATCTCGGCTGCGGCCGAGGACTGATTTAGTCGCTTCAGATGTTGCGCTATAATAATAATAATGAGGAAAATGATATAGGGGATTGAATTTAAGATCGCAGCGTCAAAGTGGCCGGTTGTTGAACTATATGAAAGAACATTATTCTGAAAGACTTTCATGAATAACATGTCAAACTGAGCAATAATGATTCAAGATACTCTACTGGAGAATTCAAACTCGAAATATATCACCATGACCACTGAACTTTCGATAAAATGCATGGAAACTTGAATCTAAACAAGCATTCAATGTACTTTCCATTAGTTACTTGAATATCCGCAAGAGAGCGTATCGCTTATTTTGAATCGCCTAAAGAAGTCCGGTGAAGTATATCCAAAGTCCTGAAATTTCGACCTTTCATGCTCTGACCAGAAACTATACAGGGTGCCCGGAAAGGTCATGTCGTAAATGATATGGCCGATAGAGTCAAAATAATGTTAATACTTCATATGAAAAAATGTCTATCTCACTTCGTTACAGAGCTATTGAACTTGAAAGTTTCTGCAAGTCCATACGTATGCATACTCAAATCATTACTTAACTCATACATGGTGTTACCAAAGAATTAAATGATGTCAAAATAATTTGATGTCAATTCTAACATGACTGCAGCTACCATGATGATATTAAATAAATAGAATTTTCATTAGGACATCGATTGAAATGAAGTGTACTATTTTTGTAGAAACAAGATGAATGAATGGAACAGTGGAAGAAAAACGTCAAATTTGTCACCTCTGTCAAAAGTGTCTCCATTAAACGGAAAAGATTCGTCCCATCCTGTATAAAACATTATCACTGAACTGCCGTTTACATATCGAAAGGAGCATTAGTAACATGGCTACCGATTAAAAGATAAAAGTTTGGACAAACAGTCTCAATTATAGTTCTTGACAGATATGTCATCCGCTGTTGACGGCGATTACGCGATCATGACATACCTATACTGGCGGAATAGGTCGCGTGCACGATGACCGACCATGGAGGCAAAATATTGAAACACAACCTCACTCTTCTGTGAATTATTGAAACACAACCTCACTCTTCTGTGAATTATTGAAACACAACCTCACTTTTTTATTTGTTTACAGAGGAATCAAAATGTTGAAATAGTTTTTCACAATATTTTGGCATATGAATCGTGTTTCTTGCGTTATTCATTAATTCAAGCATGCCTTCGCATTGTGCTGTTGTACAATGCACAAAAAATGCAGCAAGAGACTAGGTAATATGATTTTTCAGGTAAATAGTAATCTCACATAGTTATCATTATGAAATGTTGTCATTCCTTATTAAAATTCCTTCTGCCTTCTGCCACTTCTGCAATACAAGCTAATACTGCTAATAGATTGAAAATGTCTACAACACACACGATCGTCAGCATGTCAGACCAGTCCTCCCGATTGATTGCATGAATCCAATCTTCTTGCATTATTCTAGAAATTTCAGGTATATTTCTATTAGCTCCTATTGCAGAAGGAATTCCGATGAGAAACCAGAGAAATAACCAAATTTCAAAAATGAAAACTATATGTGAGTGACTATAGTAGGTACTTACTTTTAAATCATAATGTACCATCCGGATTCCTTCATCTTCCGCTGCAGTTTTTGTGCATTTTACAACAGCACAATGTGATGGCATGAGCGAATTGATGAATAGCGGAAAAATACGATTCATATGCCAAAATAATTGTGGAAAACTATTTTGATCACTTGTAAACAAATAAGAAAAGTGACGTTGTGTTTCAATGTTTTGCCTCCAATGTCGGTCATCTGACAGTTCTTGCACGCAACCTATAAACTGTGCAATGTGCTTACTGTGCCTAAAGAGCTACTTACTGAGGCTGTATCTCGTGTGTTCTTGCCTACTTTCTATAGTGGCCGTGGGTAAAAAAATTTTTTTCACTAAAACAGACCCATTACCTATCGCCAACAAGGACGTCCTATCGGATTTGTCCAGCCGCCTGCCGGCATCGATCAGCTGATCCGTCCATCCTCTGTCCGCGAAAATGTCCACGGCCGCTTTGACGTCCCCGATAGACAAATACATATCAGCGGCGGCTTTGTGCTCGTTGATGTTTTTCGCCCAGTCGGCCTTGCGTCGAATCAACTCGCTGTTGTCGTTCGCGCCGAGATATTCTTGCGCTTCGTCGAACATCCTGTGTGGAATAATTCCATCACCCATCACTTTCGATTTGAAGACCACAGGGGTGAAAGGGGAAATGTCACAAAAAGTAAGGTTCGAGAAAAACGCATTTCAAAGTAAAAAACCTCCTTACTTTTTGGAAGTTAGAGGAAACTGAAATCAAATCACCTGGATTCATTTGATGGAGTATAATGAGCAATAAAGTTGAACTAGAAATAAAAATCATACTTGAATGGAAAAATCATCGAAAACAAAAAATAAGTCCAAAGATTCAAGGTTTTTACCTGGGAAATGTCCAAATAAATTGTCAAAAAACTGGAATGTTTACTCGCAATTATCTGCTCTGGACCATTTCTCCATACTTGCCTCACATTGCATGTAGGTATAGGCTTTTTATTTGAATTTGTACCTATGTCATATTCAATATTGTTTTCTAACCTCGAAGGAGAAAATAAAAATTTTCGGAAGCTTTAGCGATAAAGTATAGTTTACCTTTTTGAGGCCCGAGTGACTGAATTCCACGATATTTCTATTGTACCATTATAGTAATTCACGTAACAAGTTCTCGAAGTGATATTTTACGGAATGAATGGGAATTTCCCAGGACGAGCCGTAGGAAAATTGAAATTTCAATCGTATAACAAACCTACCTGAGATCAGTGTACATCGTGAGGGCCTTGAATTCCTGACCGACCTTCTGGTAGAGCTTGGCAGCTTCTTTCAGTTTGCCCTTATGAGCATAGACATCTCCGATCATCACCTCTTTCGGATAATCGCCTGAAAAACACGGATTTCTTGCAGTTCAGTAAACGAACAAAAAAAAAGGAGAAATAATTTGTGTAGTCGCAAATTCTCGTAGAGTTGGTGGGATGTGGCATAAACGACATTCTACAAGTACCCCGTGGTCATCCCCCCAATGAAGAAAACAACTCTCCTCCGAGATGCTTGGACAAGCACATCAATTATTGGTTATGATTCATGGATATCTGAATCACCCTGTACAAGACTCGTTCCGATGAATTTTCAACAAATTACCTTGTATTTTGCAATCTAGAATGCCAAAAATCGATGACGTAATCAATGAACTAAACTACGCAACATTAATTTCGTCGCACCCCAAAATTTTGCCTCTGTTGAAGTATGAATACCTTTTTTCTGCTTTGAACGATTAGAATTCGTATCACACTTTTCGCTAGTCCAGTCCTTCAGCTATAATCTCGTAATTCTTCAAAACATAAGGTTCTTCACATAAAATCGCTAAAAAGTGTTACCTGAAACACCGAATTGTCTCCTTATCTCTTTTATTTACAGAGGGATCTCAAAAAATTAACTTTTTGGTTTTGCAGTCATAACTTTTTTCCTCTTCAACCGATTTTTGAAATCTCAAGCTCATTTTGAAGCTCACACTTCAGAAGAAGAGATATGAAGATCAGAATTGACTCCAGATGAAAATTATACAGTGTGTCCCACTTCTAATGGAATTACCCCTGTATCTTTCGTAATTGTTGAGTTCCGAAGTGATTTCCAACCTATCTTGCCTCCTTATATCATTTTTGTGGGTGGTTCCATGGCTGTTGGGGAGCAGTGTATATCACTGGAGATGACTCCACTTGGTTAAGTGTGTATTTTCAGTATATCTATCGCTCTTGCACTGTGACGCCACCGGAAATATTATTCGGACTCTAATTGTAATAGAAGAAGCTCCATATTACTATTTTCAAAACCACAACGTTTTAATGATGAAAAGATAATTGAGAAATGAATAGAAAAAAGATTTTTCATAGAAATATTATCACCCTGTATCTCGAAAACTAAGCAAGTTAGGAAACATGTTTATATCGACTTTATTTTCGAAAATATCACAAGGAATCGCCACTTGAAATTTCTCGGTTACTTTGATACGCTTGTTGAATAATACAGTGTGTCCCACTTACTATGCTCACCATGGGTATCTTCTTAACGGTAAGAGATACGAGGTCGGTTAAATGACACCAAATGTGGAGTTTGTCAAGGCCAACTATAATGTGAAAAAATATTTTGATAAAATCTATTCGTTTTTGTTTTATATGCAAAAAACAGATTTTGACCATTTTGATTTCTCCTCCGTAATTTCTTTATTTATGAAAATATTCAAATAGGAATTTCACATTCTCATGGCAGTTTTTAGAAGTGATTTCGAAAAAAATATGAAATTTATACCAACTCTTCTAGAATTTGAGATATCAGCACCAACTTCAGTTTTTCAAATGTAGGTCATAGCTCACTATGACTTAGTTACGAATAACTTTTTTTTCTCTTATAGATGATATGTCGCAGTAATAGTTTTGTGTTGATAACAACGGAGTTATCGTCATTTATACAAAAACAAAAAATTATTCGGAAGCCGCCATCTTGAATTTATAAATTTTAACAAAGAAATTATGATCTCTGACCTCAAAAACCCCCACTTACCAATTTTGAATGGAATCGGACCAAATCTTGTCCGCCATCTTGGAGCAGCCATTTTTTTAAATTTCAACAATAATTCCATAATTCCGATTGACTTGAAAGGACCCCGCACAAAACCATAGGGAATTGGCCCACAGTGGGATTTGCCTGAAATTCACATATGTTATTGGTATGGAGTTTCTGATCAAATGTTTTCATGTGACCAATCCTCTAAGACCAAAGATTTAGCTCTCAGGGTCGTATTTAGTATAGGTGCCAAATAAACAATGACACTTTTTTCTTTTCAAGCCCATGATTCTTGTATCTCCCATAATAATTCAATTGAACAAGGAATGTTGCGAAATCATGGCATTTGTCTTTTAGCACAAATCCTCTGTAAAACATGCCTTGTCCTACAGGACCGTATTTAGTAAAACTGTATTTGTGCCGAATCGAATTGATTTTGTTATTACTTTCTTATTTCTTGTCCTATTTCAGTGGTCGTTTGATAGATGAATGTAGATTTCTTTGTGTACATAACAAAAGTGGTCACCATCTTAATATTCTCAAGATGGTCGGCCTAACATTTAATCTTTATGTAGGACATATATCTCGTAGCTTTTTAGGAATCATAGTAACAAGAAAAGATAAAAACACGTTTCGATTGTTGAAATCGGTCATTTACTTTTTCAATTACCTAACTCTATAATATAAATATAACTCTACTATCTAATGGAAACTTCATCTAATTCATTACTAACAAAATTGAAACCGAATCCTGAATACCACAATATGCTACAAATATGAGCACATGTTCCTGTGTCCTTGCCCCTGATTTGCAACTGTAGTAGTATCCTATTATCAATACATCTTCTTCATTATTCTCGTCAGGCTGGTTTTCATGCGGAGTGTATTGAATGAATACTTGATATTTATTTCTCCTCCTGAATCGAGAATACACTCTAAGTCTAATGAATCCAGGTTCATTCACTCTGAGATCAATTTCAAAAGACTAATGATCATCTCTCAGTATTCTGTCTTGGACATAGGACGCAGATAATTCGATTTGATATGTTCCAAAAGTCACGTTTCTCAAGTTCTCCATAGATAGGTGTGGAAATCGAGGAACATGCTCATTATTGAGTTGCTGCCATAATATGTTCGATATGTCCTACATATCCACTTTTGTTATGTGCACAAAGAAATCTACATCTATCTATCAAACAATCACTGAAATAGGACAAGAAATAAGAAAGTAATAACAAAATCAATTCGATTCGGCACTTTGGCAAATACAGTTTTACTAAATACGGTCCTGTAGGACAAGGCATGTTTTACAGAGGACTTGTTTTAAAAGGCAAATGCCAAGATTTCGCAAAATTTCTCATTCAATTGGATTATAATGGGAGATACAAAAATCATGGGCTTGAAAAAAAAGTGTCATTGTTTATTTGGCACCTATACTAAATACGGCCCTGAGAGCTGAATTTTTGGTCTTAGAAGATTGGTCACATGAAGACATTTGATCAAAAACTCCATACCAATAACATAGGTGAATTTCAGGCAAATCCCACTGTGGGCCAATTCCCTATGGTTTTGTGCGGGGTCCTTTGGCAAGTGTTCATAATTTCGGTGACAATACATTATGGAATTTTCGTTGAAATAAAAAAAATGGCTGCTCCAAGATGGCGGACAAGATATGGTCCGATTCCATTCAAAATTGGTGAGTGGGGGTTCTTGAGGTCAGAGATCATAATTTCTTTGTAAAAATTTATAAATTCAAGATGGCGGCTTCCGAATAATTTTTTGTATTTGTATAAATGACGATAACTCCGTTGTTATCAACACAAAACTATTACTGCGACATATCATCTGTAAGAGAAAAAAAAGTTATTTGTAACTAAGTCATAGTGAACTATGACCTACATTTGAAAAACTAAAGTTGGTGCTGATATCTCAAATTCTAGAAGAGTTGGTATGGATTTTATATTTTTTTCGAAATCACTTTGAAAAACTGCCATGAGAATGTGAAATTCCTATTTGAATATTTTCATAAATAAAGAACTTACGGAGGAGACATAAAAATGATCAAAATCTGTTTTTTGCGTATAAAACAAAAACGAATAGATTTTATCAAAATATTTTTTCACATTATAGTTGGCCTTGACAAACTCCACATTTGGTGTCATTTAACCGACCTCGTATCTCTCACCGTTAAAAAGATACCCATGGTGAGCATGGTAAGTGGGACACACTGTATACTATTACGGAAAAAATGAAAATCTGAACATAGGAAACCTCCCCAAACGCACAAACCTTTTTGTTGCATCTCTTGCAACTCCTGTATCAATTCCAAATAGGTGAAGTCCTGTAATTTGATGAAAGCCAATCTGGCCACCTCGAATTCCAAATGTTCCAAAGCGGAATGGGCGAGTTCCTCCCAGTCGCCCTCGGTCACGCCCAAACAGGCCACCCTGTACGCCTCCGAGTACATTTTCTTGTCGATGTACTGGTACATGGGAGTGCTGAGGGGTAGGTCCAGGGTGTTCATTGTCGAGCCGTTAAGGCAAAACACCTTAACGATAACGAATCAATAAAAAAATTATAGAGGACCAACAGTCTGTCGCCCCCACGTGTAACTTATCATTTATTTTACATTTTACAAAAAAAAAATTGAATGCATTAGTTGTAGGGTTTCATTTAATCCCTTCAACTTCATTTATTCATAGCATCTCAAAAAAGCGCAGTGACTTAAAGTATTTTTTTCCATTCCATGTTAGATTTTGAACAACTTTGATGGAATGTTTTATATCACAAAAGTCAATTGTTTTGGAATTATGACACTTGCAAATTATGATTTCAAATATTTTCGCAACAATTTCAGTGTGAAAACCATAAAAAATGGAACACAATACAGTGTGTCCCACTTACCATGCTCACCATGGGTATCTTTTTAACGGGAGAGATACGAGGTCGGTTAAATGACACCAAATGTGGAGTTTGTCAAGGCCAACTATAATGTGAAAAAACATTTTGATAAAATCTATTCTTTTTTATACGCAAAAAACAGATTTTGATCATTTTCATGTCTCCTCCGTAACTTCTTTATTTATGAAAATATTCAAATAGGAATTTCACATTCTCATGGCAGTTTTTCAAAGTAATTTCGAAAAAAATATGAAATTTATACCAACTCTTCTAGAATTTGAGATATCAGCACCAACTTTAGTTTTTCAAATGTAGGTCATAGCTCACTATGACTTAGTTACAAATAACTTTTTTTTCTCTTACAGATGATATGTCGCAGTAATAGTTTTGTATTGATAACAACGGAGTTATCGTCATTTATACAAAAACAAAAAATTATTTGGGAGCCGCCATCTTGAATTTATAAATTTTAACAAAAAAATCATGATCTCCGACCTCAGAAACCTCCACTTACCAATTTTGAATGGAATCGGACCAAATCTTGTGCGCCATCTTGTAGTAGCCTTATTTTTTTTAATTTCAACAAAAATTCCGTAATGTATTGTCACTGGATTTACGAACATCTGCCAAATTTCAAGTTGATAGGACGGCCAGAAGTGAGTCAAAATTCACTTGCAACATTTGATTACAGAAACGAATAGATTTTATCAAAATATTTCTTCACATTATAGTTGGCCTTGACAAACTCAACATTTAGTGTCATTTAACCAACCTCGTATCTCTCACCGTTAAGAAGATACCCATGGTGAGCATGGTAAGTGGGACACACTGTATATTTCACTTTGCTATCCTGACTCTTTGAAAGCTTTCAATTTTTTTTTTGTGATATATGTAGAAAAAGAAATAACGGGGGGCGACGGACTTTTGGTCCTCACTGTATGAAATTGCTGGGCTATGTACCAGGTGAAACGTTAAAAAGTAGCAATCCCCTTATTTTATATTTCACAGAAATTTGTTTTCTCCATTTTCTTCAATAGAACGCACTATATACCGGGTGTCAACGAATCTATTAGACAAGTCATAAGTTCTGAAATTTTTTAGGTGTAACAATATAAGATTTGTTATGGGTTTTACCGGAAACGGCTTCGTTTTCGAATTTTCAATTAGAACGTCCCGTACTTGTAAGATTTTTTTATTTCTTTGACATTTCTGGATCAGAAAGTGACAGTTTCAAAAGTAAAGAAATCCTCAATTTTTGCTCATGTAGCTTAAATGTCACTGTCATATTATCCAAGTGAGTGATTGGTTTTCCAAAGAAGACTTGATGAAAATAACTAAGAAATATTATGCATCAGGCTATCCATGGCACACTTGTAAAAAGTAAATGAATTATTGTCCAGTATTTTTCTTAGTAATATTCTATTCGTTCTTCTTTTTAATTCAATCACAAATGAATTGGTATCCTTACATTCGTCAAAAACTTTTTTTCAGAAAGGGTTTGTCAAAAACTGTCCGGCTTTTTTGAAAATAGTAGTCGACACGAAAATGTAATTTTGACAAGTTTTATCATTCCTACCATTAGTCACAAAAACTTCGCGATTGTTATATTCTGATGCAATATTAAGTTACTTTAAAAAAATGAAGTAGACATAACATTTTGAAAATCTGACACCCGGTATACAGTGCTCAACACATTGAGTGCAAAACTGCAAATTTTTTACAACCTGTATTTTATGGGAATTAATCGATTTGTGTTTTTTGTATGAAAGCAGCTGCAAAATTTGTTGATATATTTTTTTAAATTTTTCATAAAATGAGTAATGACACAAAAGTGATCGAGCTAGAACAAATGGTGTCATTCAGGATATCATGGTATTCGTTTTTTGTATTACCTTAGATCCCGTCAGGCCCACCACGAATCCGTTCAATTTCTGCACATGCGCAGGAAAATCCATAACTTTTATCGACAAATTGCTGTTGCCGCTGAAAGCGAGCATGTCTTCGTAGAGATTGTTGAAAGCCACACTGTTGGCGTTCATCTCTTGAAAGAACAATTCTTCCGTTCTGGCATTGAATATTTGACAGAGGCCTGTGTCGTCCACTACTGCTAACTTTTCTTTTCTTTGACTCAAATCCAGACACCTGATGCCATCGTTGGAAGTCACCTTGTACACGAGAAGATTCCAGTTCAACCCAAATTAATCTGATCGAAAAAATCTAAGGATATTTTTGAACGAAAATTTTTGTTCTCGTTAAATTTGCTGCTTCTAAGTTAGGAATCAACTCCCTAGAAGTCGAAACTTGTGCGAGGTTAGGAAGATCGCGACCTACAACAGTTTATAGTGCAACCTGAATTTCGATTCATCGCAAAAACACAATATCCTTCACTTTTTTCGATCAGCTCATTTCGAACCAATACAAGGATTGGCAATGACTTCATTACATGATTGAATTATATATTATTCAGTTTCATGTTCTCATTTTGTTTCAATTGATATGTAAAATGATCTCAAAATGAAAATTATATCAAGAGCAAGCAATAAGTATTTTATATAGTGTCTGTATGTCAACCGAGTAGGTGAATATTTTCTCGATATGTTTTGGGAATTTAGGATTTTCTATCTCGTTTCTTTGAATGAAAATATTATTATTATTATTATTCTACTATATTTGTAGTAACGACACACAAGATGTCACTGATGTTCATTTCTATCCAGAGAGTTAGTATCTGAGATTACTTTTTCAGATTTCTGCAAGTGAAATGTTTTCAACACAGTGCCATTTTTTGACAACCTGATTTGTCCTTACTACAAATATATTGAAGGGATGAGACCTCCTTCGCTCCTCTTCCTGAATTCGCCACTGGACAGCAACATTCAACTACACAGTATTACATATACCTAATAAAACTTTTTCAAGAAAAACTATATCAGCTACCTAAACAAAATATTCCTTTTGAATAAATCAATAGGTGAATCATTCAAAACAAATTGAATTCAGTAAGGCTGAGCAATTAATTCAATTCAAAGAACCATTGGCCAAACCAAAAACTGGTATAAATCTGAAACCAATTATTAATGTATTGAATTTATAGTTATTTAACCAACTACTGTAGTAATAAGGGCCATTAATGATCGAGATATTTCAAACATCGATCGTCTTTCAATATAGGAGTTGGTTACATAATTTTCAAAATGAATGTATGTTTGTCCGTATGGAATATTTGAACTCAATTTTGAAGTGGATACCTTCAACCGACTGAGCTGAAATTTTGTATACACGTTTAGTTTTAATGACAATGCACGATAAGGTGACTTTATTCTAAATCCAATATGGCGGACCATCCCAGATGGCGGAATAGTTATTTTTAATGCACTTCTACAATATAGGTATCAAATGAAAAGGCTCATTGAGAGCAACTCGAGAAATAATTTGACGTCATTCTAAATCCAATATGGCGGACGATCCAAGATGGCGGAATAGGTATTTTTAATGCACTTCTACAATATGGGTATCAAATGAAAGGACTTGTTGAGAGTAACTCGGGAAATAATGTGACGTCATTCTAAATCCAATATGGCGGAGCATCCAAGATGGCGGAATAGTGATCTTTAAACTACTTCTACAATATGGGTATCAAATGAAAGGGCTAGTTGAGAGCAACTCGAAAAATAATGTGACGTCATTCTAAATCCAATATGGCGGACCATCCAAGATGGCGGAATAGTGCTCTTTGCTGCTGATGGTCAAGCATACATGGCCTTAAGTAGGGTAAAATTATTAGAAGGTCTCCTTATTCAATAGCTGGACTATTCAAAATCAACCGGCAAGGCAGCCAAGGAAGTCATTCTGAATTTCCTGCCGTGTGAAACATATAATTTTTTTCTGCCCGTTAAGTATCAGAGAAAAGCCACTCTCCCTGCAGCTTGGAGATAAAGATATTTTCTTCCTGATTTCATTGATCACCAAATAATTAGGTATAAAAAATCTGCCCATCTCTGTGCATGTTTATATATATAGAGATGAAACCAAGATAAAATAAGTTATTTGAAATGAACAAGTTTCTGAAAAGGATGAAGAGGAAATGGAATGAATAGATTGGTAGTTTCATAGGCAAAACAAAATTTTTTACTGTTATTATTGAATATTTTTTGTCAAATTTTACCTTCAGTAGGGGATGAATATTATCCAAATGCACTTCCCAAACTTGACCATTTTTGAGTCCTAAAAGCAAACCTTCTTTCCCAGGCGGTCCTCCGATATTTTTGATATACCTAATGGGGCTGTCAAAGTTCCACTCTTTTTCCTTTTCCCCAGCAAAAAACATGCTCTGCAAGGTTTTCTCCTGACAAATGACGATATGTTCTGAACATACAACTAATAGGTTGCAGTCCAGTGTTTGTGTTATTTTTTCTTTAGCCCTATAATGCATGTCATTGGCATCTTTGGAATAGAGTTCATAGATAACAACTCTTTCAGGAAGTTGAACCTATGGAATATCATCAATTAAGACCACATCAATCCACTAAACACAAAATATTTTTGTTAAAATAGGAAAAAAAAGGCGTTTGAGAATTCAACATTTGGTGGATGGAATAAACCCAAGCAACCTTACTGTATATACCTTATATTTCATTTAATCATGTGAGTCATGAATAAATAAAAAACAAAGTTAGTATTGGAGTGGTGATATTTAGTTATCTTGCAAACAATTTGCAATCAGACATTCTAAAAAAGTCAACAAATCTGGCTTATCTAATCTTTTTCCTCTGATAACATTTCCAATAATATATTATCTTGATATTATCTTTTTTTTATTGATACATGAAAGAAATTATTGATTACTTCACAGCTATTATTGAATACTTCAGAACAATGGTTTAAAAAAGTGGTAACTATAAACATTTGTTGAGATTTGAAATAAAGAACATTTAATTTCATTAATTTCTTTTTTTTTTCATGCCATTAAATAGACTGCAATTATTTTGTTACTTAGTGCAAGTCTTATTGAAGAACCAACCATCATCATTCTTTTGCATTACATTGAAATGAAACAAAAGTACCTACTTACTGCTAATCTATCAGTGTAAATGGCGATTTTTTTAATGAGATCTCTGCACTTGATCCTGACTTTTTGTTCAGTTATCAAATGTTGTATTATGATATCTGTCATGTTCTCCCTATAAGCATATCTTTCTCTGTAGAGCCCATGTACCATACTGAATACAAGTTGATAGTATGCTATAGTCCCATCTTCACACCCCACAGCCTTAAATAAATTGCAAATTACAAGTTTTATTTGCTATAATACATTCAGGTAATTGAATACAAACACACCTACCCCAAAATTTCCACTCACAAATTTTATTTGCCATAATACATTCAGGTAATTGGATACAAACACTTACTACAAAATTTCCATTTGGATGAGCTTCACAACACCACACCCAGGAGTTTTGAATATCCCCAATGACACCTAATTTGATGCCATCCTTCGTATACATAGTACAAGCCATATTCAATCCTCCAGTCAGTATGAAATCCCCATGGGGAAAGTATCTAACTCTGAGAGCCTCATAACCTATGTTTCTTTCTTTCCCAATCATTTTACCACCCAAGGTATAAAATGACAGAGTTTTGCCCCAGTCTGTTACACAAAGTGTGTCAGTTTGGTCTTCTTTATTTGTATTCCAGTTTAGTGCCCATATGGAAGGACCATTGGGTCTTTCTATTTTGCCTTTTTCTTCCCCTAACTTATTCCTAATTGATATGACTCCATTGTTTAAACCTAGAGCTAAATATTGGCCATCATTGGTCCAAGAACAAGAGTTTATTCTCACATTTATCTTATGCTTCTGAACTGCTTTTTGCTCTGTACTCCAGAAAGCAAAGTCTGATAAGGCACAGGAAGCTAGTTGATGAGACAGGGGATTGAATGCAAGGCACTGAACTGAATCACCATGGCTGTATTTGAGCAAACCCTCTAGCTTATTGGACCAAATTATCACGTTTTTGTCTGCACTCCCGCTGGCAAACTTTTCTCCATTTTTCGCATAACATACTGAGTGTACTTTGTCTTTGTGGCCTTTCAGGAGTTGTATGAGACTACCATCATTGGTGTTGTAAACTAAAACGTGGTTTCCACCTGCTACTATCAGTTGGGTACCCTCAGGGTTGAAACAGAGATCATAAATGCTGAAAAAATATGAATGTTCATTTGAAATTTTAGGGCCTAGCAAGTGTACTTTTTTACCTTTGTCCTTGTTTTTCACTATCTTGAACTTTGTCAACCCATTTTGGTATAGACCTCATAGCTCAAGGGTTGAATTATTATTGTCTTTTCACGAAATCACCTCATTACTATTATTTTTTCTTCAAACTGGAATATTTTTTCAACTTTTTTCAGTGTTCATTTCTCATTCCATATATTTACGAATTGTTGACAAACAACAGTTGTCAAGGTAACCGTGATTGTTGACTAAACAAAGAACGTTGGCGTACTGTATTAATTTGTTAAGGGTGCAATATTCCAAAATGACAATATTAATGTGTTTTTAATCAATACCATTTAAAACACATTCTTTATTTTAACACATTCATTATTTTGTGATGGGAAAGAACTACAGCAGAAGAAGCCAGACACCAAAAAGGGCCAAAAGACTGCCGTCAGCCCACTATCTGCTGTGCCCCCGACAAACACTGAAGATGGAAACAATAACAGTTTTCTAACTTCTCTGTTGAGCCTCATATGCGGAGCTGTATGCAAAGATTCTCCGTTGGCTGAATACATTCCAGCACCAAACCAAAATAGTCCATTAAACTCAATATTTTCTGGTAGGTCAGCATGCAAAAAAGGATTACTCTCACTCTTATACTATACGTTGCACCTGAATGTATGATGTATGCATGCAGCCAATCTAATGTTTCGTCAATTGCACGATAATTTGCATCTTATAATCAAAAATATGCTTGTGTATAAAACTTTATTTACTTTTTTATGAGTTACAATTTTAAGAATATTTTCCAAAATTTTCACAACTACGATGATTTTCAGGCTGGAATAGGCACATATATTGATCATTGAAGTGAGGCTAATACCATAATAACAGTTCCCTGATACCCACCTACTTTGACATCAATAAAACAGAATCTATGTTTTCTAATAATCTATTTATGATTTCTTATGAACTCATATATGAAATATTTTTGTTTTAGAGCTGAAGTTTGGGGGCTTTTCAAAAGACATTTGCAGAAGTATGGTCGCCATGTTGGATTCTGATCGGTCTGGAAAACTAGGTTACAAAGAATTCAAAAATTTGTGGATATCTATAATAAAGTGGAAGGTAGCTTCAGCTAGCATTTATTATGTATCCAGCAGTAAAACTATATACCTAGTTATATCATTCATTATTTGTAGAACGTGTGGATGGTGTATGATACTGACAAATCAGGGACTTTCAGTGGATTTGAACTAAGAGAAGCTTTGAATTCGGCTGGATATAGACTGAACAATAGAGTTTTATCTGTTCTCATGCACCGATATGGAAACAAACTTGGTCAAATCAACTTTGATGACTTTATGTTGTGCTCCATCAAATTGAAAACGATGTTGGGTACGTAAAATACAGCACAAACAATGGCTCTGCCTCTGTAACAACATATCTTCTCACTGTATTTCTTCATATATTCATTTTTTCTTGTTCATAATATATCTGAGAATATTCGTTTTCAAACATTTTCTTTTTTTTAGATATTTTTGATGAAAATAAGGATCCTGAAAAATCGAACACTGCAACTTTCTCCATGGAGGAATGGTTGGAAAATACTTTATATACTTGAAAATCAATCATCACTGTAAACACACAAATATTTTTCCGATATTACATAAATATCTTCATACTTTTCATTGAATCTTACTATATACTCTATTTTTCAATATTCACCAAAAAGTGTTATTCGAGTCATATAAGCACACATTTACCAATCTTGTTCAAATTATAGGTCTAATATGTTATCGAATATAAATATTTATTTACCATTATATGAAGGTACTCCATTTTACTGATTAGTAAGATTATTATACCTTTCCATTTTCCAACAATTTTAAGATTGTGAAATTTAAAACAGCTCAGCTCACAGACATAATGATAATTCAAAAGTCAGCAGGTAATGTAAGTACCCACTTACTTGGAAATGAAAAGACCATCAGTCACAATCAACGGCATCATCCAGGTAGGTAACACCCCAACACCATCGAATATACATGATCTATATATATGAGCGAATGATAAGTCTACTTAAACATTGTCAAGAATATCATTTCAGAATATAATATTAACAAATAGGTACTGGAAATTACAAAATGACCCAATGACCATTGATTCATTGTATACCATGGGTCATGGGTAATATGTATTCGCGGCCAAACATTATTTTGCCACATCTGCGTTATATCAGAAATTAGTAATATTATTGAAAATGCCTCGAATCGAATAAAATGTTCTACCTATACGAAAACAATTATTAATTGATAACGAAATGAACAAATTGCCAGAGTAAAAAAATGATTTATGAAAATGATTTGAAAACTAATTCCCGGTAATCAATTGAAATATTCATTATGAGATTATATCTTCTGATTACCTATCACAACACCAATAGATAATGAAAGTTTATTCCGTTCAAGTAGATTAGATAGGACCAAATAAAAATGTGCTATTTAGCTAAAATATCACAATATCAGTGTGATTGCCAGGGTTAACATTGAAGACAATTACTTTGAAACGTGCGAAACATGTCTGACAAAAGAGGTATTAGTGATGGAGAAAAGCAGATGGGTCGCATTTATATGGTGAGAATATTTTTAAACGGTTTCAAAAAGCGACTTTCCGAAAAAAAAATCTGGAACAAGTAAATGAAATGCATGTTTTTGAAGCTTGGCGAGAAACATTCTGGTCTGAAACCAAGAGGACCACTTCAAAATTATGAAAAACTGAAGAAACACTGCATTGAAAATGGTGTTTTATTCGAAGATTCTCAGTTTGACCCAGAAAAGGTTCGAATGGCTGAAAACATCGAGCAAGCAAAAATTAAAATCGAATGGTTGAGACCAACGGTAGGTTTATATATATATATATAGATAACTAAACGGTCATTGTTGAGCCCGATTAGCATATGAACGCTACGTAGTGGAGCCCGAAGAAACGTTGTTGAGCCCGGTTTCGGGCTCAACAACGTATCGCCCTGTATCTCTTCACTGAGTGGTCAGAATTGTTTGAAATGCCATTTCCCGCATTTTTGGTCGGGCTCCACAATATACCGATAATATAACCGACATACAGCAAAAACTTCGGGGATCGGCCTGTAGAGGGCGCTTTTTTGTATATAGGGATATACACTTCAGATTTGTATAAACGTTGTTGAGCCCACATATGATTGTATCGTTGTTGAGCCCTAAATTTGGCAACGTCGCAATTATTAGTATTGAGGATACACAATTTGACCTGAGACTTCTGCATCATGATGATGATGTGAAATAAGAACTCGATACTAGCACGTAAGAGTCTTAAGAAAAGTGTCCTGTCCATTATGTACCCGATAAACAACTGAAAACGGCTGTCATTTCTATCATTCTTCCAACTTTGATAGTTGATATCTTCCGTTGGGGAAAAGCTATCATGTTGCGGTTTCCGTTGGTCTGTTTGAGATTCAGTTTCTCTATTACATCGTGTAATGATATGCATACCATTCGATTTATTCTATCTCAAACTTTTATCATTATTCGTTGCTGATATATAGCCGACAGCCGTTCTTAGTCGTTCACCCAGTACAACTCCATTTCGTTTTGATATTTGACAAAACGATAAGAAATCTCGAGCGGATAATCAATCTGTTTCATGATTGCAGGAAGAAAATTCTATTGTTGACGAGTTCGATATCAGGTAATACCTGAGTTGTTAAAACACTTGACAGGGTTGGAATACTTAAGTTCCTGTGTTTTTTTACAATTTATATCGGAGTTTTTTCCAATAAGCTCATTCCCTACAATAAGCACTGCAAATTGAATACATATCAGATCATAATACAGGTAGTATGATGCTTCAGGAAAATATTCGAGGCCTCATGCTACAAAGAGACAGATTCATTCTTGGCTTGATTATCAGTGCATGAATAGCAGAGCATTGTCTGTTGGTATAGCTAAAAAGAGACAAATCTAGTCCTAGAATGATTGAAGTGTACTTTTCGAATGTGAGTAGTTCCATTCATCTTCTTTTTTTTTCACTTGCAAATCGTATCAATAAATATTGAGTAACGTTCTGGAATAAGATTATGAGTATGCATAGATCATGTAATCTCGCAAGAAGCAAAGGTTGTAGATCTTAATATGATGATAATTGGATCTGTAGCCAAACTCATCAACGATTCACCTCATCAGCGACCTAACTTTTCAACCAACCTAACTCCTAAAAAAACCAACTTATCAATAACCCAACTAATCAACGGTCAACTCATCAATAATACTACTGATTAACGACCCAAGTCGTAAACGGCCAGATTCATCAACGAAATACCCATCAACGAGTCAAATCTCCAACGACACAACTTATCAACGAGTCGAATCGTTAAGGACCAAACTAATCAACGGCCCAACTCATCAATGATCCGATTCATCAACGACCAAACACATATTATCGATCAACACATTAACGACCCACCTATTTAACAATCCATCTTATCAACGAGTCAAATCATCAACTACCTAACTTATCAACGATCAAGACATTAACGACTCAACCCATCAACAATCAACTCATCAACGACTCAACTCATCGATTCACCTCATCGACGACCTAACTAATCAACCAAGCTAACTCATCAACGAAACAACTCATGTATACTCAATTCACCATCCAGGCAACCAGATGACGTTTCAGAGACTCCTTTTTACGTCAGTCACAGCCCAATGACGTCATATTACTCACGTTTATTGACGTCATTCACTCACCAAACTGTGACGTCATGCTAGCGTCAAAATGACGTCAGAATGACGTTTAAATTTGGTGATGACACATAAAAAAGTTTCCTCGAACATGGTGTGATAATCACCACTGACCTCTGATGACATATAATATTTATTATGCATTGTTGAGTCTGCTTGGTGGTCCCTCAGGTGTCATGTCCATTCAATCGTCTATTCAGCAGCGCTATCTCTCAGTACCATCAGAATGAAATCAGTTACTCGAATTTGTATAACAAATTATGTAGTTTGTGTCGGCGAGATGTAAGCAAACCAAAAATAGTTTGATAAGCAATGAAAACGATGTTGGCGAATCTAGCTTCACTTTGTTGAGTAACGTATATTCATAAATTATTTGTCACGCAACAAAAATCTGAATAGCAAATTACTAAAAAAATTTCTGAATGACGGAGCTCACCAAATCGGTACGTCACATCGACGTGATTTTCAGACGTCATAGATACGTCACTGCAAAGTCATTGAAGTGACGGTTTCAATAAAGGTACACCTATTTTAAATTCTGAATATAAACATAATTATTATATAGTTTACTTTTCGGATATATATATAATTCTAATGAAACTTGCATGTTTTGATGAGTTATACTTATATCTATATATCTATAAAATTACCAAGACGAACAAGTTTCTATATATCAGTGTAAATTGATAAAAAATTTATTTTTTCTAAAAGACTGAAAGCTTAACGCCACTGAAAATAGCCATCTTGTATACATAGGTACGTCATGAAACTGACGTCTCATTTCACCTTTCTAATTGTCGTTCCCTAGACGACGAGATGATGACGTATTTCTCACGTCATAGAAAGTAGTTGAAGTGTTGGATCATCGATGAGTTGGGACGCTGATGATTCGATACGTTGCCCAGGCAACCATATGACGAATGATCATGTCACTGTGACGTCCCTAATTGGTGATTTTTCGTCAGAGACGTCATACCAGTTTTTGACGTCTCTGGCGAAAAATCACCAATTAGGGACGTCACAGTGACATGATCATTAGACAAATGGTTGCCTGGGCAACGTATCGAATCATCAGCGTCCCAACTTAACAATGACTCAACACTGCAACGGTCAACTCTTCAATGATTCGATTCATCGACGCTCAAAGTCATCAACGAACCAACCCATCAATGACCCAACTCATTAACGTTCGCTCATTAACGACCAAACATATCAATGATCCAATTTATCAACCTAATTTATGAACCATCATCGCATCAACGAATCGATTCACCAAAGTGAACTCATCAATGACTAAACTCATTAACGTTTCACCTCATCAATAAAGATCCTGCATATCAACCAACCTAACTCATGAATGGATCTATTCATCAACACTCAACGAGTCTACTCATTAGCAACATGTTCCACGAACAATCTACCTCATGAACGACCGAACTCAAGAACGAGCGAAATCATTAACGACTCAACTAATCAACGAGTCAAATCATCGACGACTCAAATAATCAATGACCCAACTCATCAACGAGCCGTCTCATCTACGATCCAATTCATCAATGACACAACTCATCAACGGTCAAGCGATCATCTGTACAAATCAAAACCGGTCAACACATCAACAATAAAACTCATCTATGATCCCAGTCATCAACGATATAACTCATCAACGGTCAACCCATTAACGATTCAACTCATCATCGACTGAAATGATCAACAAAGAAATCGTCAACAATTCAAATCATCAATGACATATTTCATCAATGACGCAATTAACTAACCACCCAACTAATCAACAATATAACTCATCAATGATTCAATTCATCAACGACTTGACGATCAACACATCAAAGACTCAACGCATCAACGGCCAATTCATCAACAACACAACTCATCGACGATCCACTTCATCAATGACCTAACAATCAATCGACCCAAATCATCAACAGACCAACTCATCAACACCCAACTCATCAACTGATAACGA